TATTATTATTATTATTATTATTATTATTATTATTATTATTATTATTATTATTATTATTATTATTATTATTATTATTATTATTATTATTATTATTATTATTATTATTATTATTATTATTATTATTATTATTAGTGATTATTATTATTATTATTATTATTATTATTATTATTATTATTATTATTATTATTATTATTATTATTATTATTATTATTATTATTATTATTATTATTATTATTATTATTATTATTATTATTATTATTATTATTATTATTATTATTATTATTATTATTATTATTATTATTATTATTATTATTTTTTTTTTATTTTAAAGGCAGCAAGTCCATTGGCTTATTATTAAAAAGGACAAAGACCATGTCTGTATTGTATATTTTTCATCATATTCATTTATCTTTCTTGCTTGCGGTTCCTCTTCATCGTGCGTGCGACTTTTTGCAGAAATTAATTAATGCAAACATTGTCCAGGTCTTTCTTTTCTAATTGAGATAAAGTCAATAAAATTATTATTTTTTCCCTAAATACCAAAAACCTACATTGAATTAGCACATTTGATGCTGATGGAATCATTATTAATGGCTGAGAATATATTCAGCTAAATACAAAATTTAACTACTCTACAGCTTTTTAGCTATTCACTTCATTAGTACTATTTAAATTTTAGCTAAGTAATATATTTTCTTGCAACTTTTAGCAAAAAATGAAAAAAAAAGAAAAATAAAATTTAACTAATTTTCTAAATTTGACTAATTTTCTAAATTTGAAGGCCAGCATATAATTTACAGAACATGTAAAAGTCAGCTCTCCTTGTTGGAGTCTAGTTTTACTTTTCGAGCTGCATATAATATATGTACTTGCGCAATACAAACTCATCTTCTCATTTTCTCCTCCGATAAGTCTTTGGTTTCTCCTTGTTTTCTCTGTAAGAAATTTCCCGGTTGTTTTCATCGTTGATTTGACAATATTAGTAGTGTATGGCAGTTATTTGATTCTTTCACACACACACGGTTCAGTTCTTGAAAATTTTAACCCGCGGAAACCAATTTTCGTGTTGTTGGATATATATCCGATATTCACGATATGTGGCTTGTGATATTCACGATTATAACCAAAGGCATGTGTGTTGTTGGCGTTTTTTGCAGATAAGTTTACCTAATTTCTGATGGCAATGAATGCAACTGAATTTGATTATGATGAAGGGGAGTCTTCTACACCTCCAAGTCAAGAGATGGCTAAGACTATAGTATTGGTTGGAAGAACAAGTCACGGGAAAAGCGCGACGGGGAATAGTATCGTTGGAAAAAAGGCATTCAAGTCAATGCTTAAAACTACTGGTGTTATTACTAGCACTTGTGAGATGCACAGAACTTTACTGGAAAATGGACATAAACTTAATGTTATCGATACTCCAGGTACGTACATGTTATATTCTGGAATAATTACTGTTTTTGTCCCTATTTTATACATGGAAATCGATTTTAGTTCCTACTTTTTTTTTTCTTTTCCACGATTTTAATCTCAAACTAGCCATATTTTTACAATATTTTGGCAAGCCGGTTGATTTGGGTGTTAGTTGCATGTTTTACACGTGAGAATGCTGAAATAACCCCCCTCTTACCTTCATTTTCTATTTAGCCACAATTTTATTTTATTCTTCAATTTCATCCTAAAAATACTTGTATAGTGTTGAAAGCCTATATCCCAATCCTCGATCACGTCGTCTTCTTCTTCCTCTATTTTCCTTCTCCTCCACCAAATCCAAGTACAGTAAAATAAGGGCAAGAATTAGCGCCGTTAAATATTCAAAGAATTAGGAATTATTTATATTATTTTTTCCCTATCTTGTGGCTGAGTTTTAGTTTGTAATTCTTTGCTATTCTTCATAAAACAATCAAGCCAAATGTATTAATGGCGGAACTGCTGAAATTGGGTTTTATTGGGATTAATATTTGTTGGGATTTATATTTTTAGGATAAGATTGTAGAATTAAAGTGAAATTGGGGCTAAATACAAAATATAGGCAAAAAGAGGGTCGATGGGGTTATCTCAGCATGCTCACGTGCTAGACATGTGACTTATTCCGTCCAAATTAAGGCATATATCAAACGGCAAACCAAAATTGTAAAAATATGGTTAGTTTGAGAACTAAAATCGTGATAAAGAAAATATATGGACTAAAATCGATTTCCGTGTATAATAGATGAACAAAAACATACTACTTTAAGTTCTCCACATGAAATTAGGGTGCAGTGATATAAAAAAAAAATGTATATGGTTTTTATGGGAAGATCGAGAAGAATGCCTTCGAACAGTGTTTACATACAATTTCAGTTTTCATTTTTTGGTTTAAAAATGCCTGACTTGCAATTGATTTGCCAGGGTTGTTTGATTTTTCCGTTGAATCTGAATTTATTGGAAAGGAAATTGCTAAATGCATCAATTTGGCAAAAGATGGCATCCATGCTATTCTTCTGGTCGTGTCAATTAGAACTCGTTTTTCAAGAAAAGAAGAAGAAGCTGGTTTGTTGATCTTGCATGCATTTTTTGGCGTCAAAATAACTGACTATATGATTGTAGTTTTCACCGGTGGTGATGAGCTTGAAGATGACGAGACTCTCGATGATTACTTGAGCCGTGAATATTGCCTCGAACCTATCTTGAAGGCACAAATCTCATTGAGTGCTCTTCCTTTAAGTCTCTTAATATATATTTATTTCTCTCGCCGTGCATATTTATTATCAAGAATATTATTCATAATTCGTAATTAATAAGTTTTTGTTTGTGATTTTGACATAAATAGGAAACTCTGAGAATGTGTGGGAACCGACATGTTCTCTTTAATAACAAAACAAAAGATGAAGCCCAGAAATCGGAACAAGTGAAACAACTTCTTGCCTTAGTAAATGTGGTTGTAGATAAAAATGGTGGAAGGCCGTATAGAAGTAAGCCATTTGTTGAAGTGAAGGTAAGTGCTTTCATTGATGACCATTTTTTTATGAAGTCTTGCAGCAATTGGTTACAATGCCTAACTTAATCAACAATTTTAGATAGGAGCAACAAGCAGATTTTTTTACGGTGCTCCGGCCGCTAATGTTAATTCTGAAGAGGAAAAAGATAAATTGGAATCACAGAAGTCGTATGAAAAGCAGCTTAAGACATTAACGAAGATGGTAGTTTTTTTTTTTGGCAAATTACACTTTCTCCCCTTGTACTTTGGCTTGATATCACTTTATTCTCTTCTACTCTCGATTGCATCGATTTTCCCCATGCACTTGAAAAATTGTCTCAATGTGGTCCTCGTTGTTAGTTGTCAGACATTTGACCTTAACACCGTTTGGTCTAAACTCTGAAATTACAAAAATGTCACATCTACTAGTTTAAATAATTATTAAAAAAAATAATAAATAAATAAATAAAGTACAAAACAACGAGAAAGCATAGTCCACGATGGCAACCACAGGTTTTTTTTTTTTTTTTCGAAATTTTTTAAACTATGAGGGGTGAGTTTTTTTTTTATATATAATTTTCAGACTTTTTTCAAGTGTAGGGGGGCCAAATCGAATCGAGAATAGAATAGGGTAAAGAGATACCGAGCCAACATAGAAGGGGAGAAAGTGGAATTTACTTTTTTTTTCAATAGCATACATATAATTTGTGCATAATTCATCATAAACCAACACACATACACACACACATATATATATATATATATATATATATATATATATATATATATATATATATATATATATATATATTATAAAGATATGACATGTTGCATATGTATAGGTTGATTTAAAGCTAAAGGGGAGCTATGATAAGATTGCACAACAAATAGACGAGTTAAAGCTAAAGGAGAGCTATGGTAAACTTGCACAACAAATAGCAGAGTTAAAGCTAAAGGAGAGCTACTATGATAAGCTTGCACAACAAATAGACGAGTTAAAGCTAAATGAGAGATCTGATAAGCTTGCACAACAAATAAGAGAGTTAAAGCTAAAGGAGAGCTATGATAAACTTGCACAACAAATAACAGAGATAAAGCTAAAGGAAAGCTCTGATAAGCTTGCACAACAAATAACAGAGTTAAAGCTAAAGGAGGACTATGATAAACTTGCACAACAAATAGCCGAGTTAAAGCTAAAGCAGAGCTACTATGATAAGCTTGCACAACAAATAGACGAGTTAAAGGTAAAGGAGAGCTCTGATAAGCGTGCACAACAAATAGCAGAGTTAAAGCTAAAGGATCGGAGAGCTATGATAAACTTGCACAACAAATAGCAGAGTTAAAACTAAAGGAGAGCTCTGATAAGTTTGCACAACAAATAACAGAGCATGAAAACACTCAACTCAAGGCAGAAACTATGGTCTGCAACATAGAGGTCGAGGCCAGAAGAAAATTCATTCGGTGGTTTTAAAATCGATGAAGGATAGTGAATCTAGTCAATCAGATAAAGAAAAAGGCGTGCAAGAAAGACCTACATTAAGAACTGCTGGGCCGGAAGGGGAAATAATTGCAGGTTCCCTGCAAACTGCCCACTCATTTGTAGATTTATTCGCTTTGTTATATCTGCTATCTCCATGTGTGTGTATGCATTTTTAGGGTAAATTACAACCATTCATGAGGTATGGTTAAATTACGAAACCCCTCATATTATTTGGATAATTACATCTATTTCTCAACTATGAATTTTCGTACACCTCCACATTTGTGGTGTCAAATTCAGCATAACCATCTAGATTCCTTGAAATGTGCCCTAGTAATTTGTAATCATTTTGTGTAAGAATATAGTCTCTGATGCATCACAATCTGATATTTACAAGCCAAAAAACACATCTTATGATCATCTTGCTTCAAAATGTGGAGCTCGAATATGATAAAATGGGTACAAAAGTGATAATATTCCATATAATCTAGAAGATTCCACTAAATTTGAAATCACAAGGGTGGACGTGTAAGAAAAATTATAGTTGAGGGGTTGTTGTAATAACCATAACAGAAGGGGGGTTTTCGTAATTTTATCATACCTCAGGGGTGGTTGTAATTTACCATTTTTTTATTAGCATGTGAAGGGTCGCAAAGAAAATGAATGAAAAACAAGTTTTGTGGAAGAAAGATGCACCATGAGGTATGCTCAAAATAACTTTAAGGGGGTCGCTATAGTATCGGTAATTACAAAACATTGTTAGAAACCATAACAGAGTAATGTTTTGGATAATTTATTATGTTAGCGTTCTAACGGACTATTAGTTTCAGGCAGTGGTGGAGATAACAAAGAGCTAGAGGGTGACATGACTCTCCTAACATCTCTTAAGTCCTTATTATTTTATTTAAGATTTATAAATTTTCGTTTATAGAATGATCCCGTGGAAAACAAATACATATAGTGAATATCGGTCTCTAGGACATGAAATATTGTTCCCGTAATTATTTTAGGGGAGGGTTGTAATGACCAATACTATAGAGACCTTAAAGTTATTTTAGCATATCTTAAAAGGGTATAGGTGTAATTTACCCTAAATTATATTTCATGTTCATATATTAGTTGTACATAGAGAGTGAAGAGATCTTCCCTCGAAACAATCTAAACTGGTTCAGTATTCATGATAAGAAATGTATGCAACTTGGTTGAGTAATGTTCTCTTCTCGTTCGTTGTTCATTAGACGATTTGTATGAAGTACTTTGCTTACATTGTCTTCTTTTTAAGTCCACCATTTTGTTGGAGATTAACCTCCTTCAAAATTGTAGGCTATTTATTGAAAAAGAGCGCAAAAACTAACCGGTGGAGTGAGAGACGGTTTGTTTTAAATGAAAAAACCGGACAAGTGAGTAGCTCAAAGTTGTGATAAGTCATTGCGGTGGCACTGTTTTTTTATCGAGAGATTTTGCATGTGCCATAGGTCAACATTATATTGCTATTATTTGTTTTTTTTTTTTTTTAATTCATCTTCTGTGAATCTATGGTGCAGCTTGGATACACCAAAAAACATGAAGAGAGAAAATTTCGTGGTATCATTGATTTGGAGGTACTTACTACGTACACTACAAGAAAAAGTTGCATTAGCGACACCCCAATTGTGATTTTGTTACTAATAGCTATTTTTCTTGTCACTATAGAGTATTAGCGACACTCCATTAGTGACAAGCATAGTGACAACACTTTTTGCTTAACTATGTGAAAAATAGGTGTTGTCACTCAAAAGATCTTTTTTTTGTAGTGACTACGTATCGTCGTCCGTTATTTGATAACAGAACTTTGTGTGTTGGCAACTTATTCTTTTGTTAATATTTTTGAATGCAAAATATAATTTGCCTGTTAAAATATGTTCACGTGTTTTAATATGCCTATTAAACATTTTATTTTTGTTTAATCTGTGGATGATGCTATCAGGAATGTAATCTGGAAGAAGTCACAAACGATGAAGAAGGCAATGGTCAAGATGCGGGAAAAACACAGAGTCTTGTATTCAAGATTACTAACAGGGTCCAATACAAGACTATCGTTAAAAGTACTTTTTTCGAATCTCATCCTCTCTATGATAAAGTAAGTTTTCGTTTTGAAATAACTAACTCGAGTTTCACTGAAACAGCTCGTTGTGCTGTTGTCTTGAAGGCCGAGAGCATGGCAGATAAGAGAGAGTGGTTGAGAAAATTAAGAAATGTAATCGTTTCGACAGGAGGTCAAGTGAGTGGCGAACGATAAAAACACAATTTTTATTATTCAGCCCATGTGTAATCGATTTAAATTCCAAAACGATTCATTCCGACTATATTAGATGGTTATGTTTTTCCCTGGTTCCAACATAACGTCATATTATGGTGGTCGAAAGAGATTTTTTCACGGCGCGGTGGAAATGTACAATATTTATCCAAGTTATAACCATTTCTCGTGTGGTAAATACATGACGATTTTTTAGTAAATTTTAACCTCTATTACAACTGTTGTGTTTCCACTCAAAGATTCTTACAGCAGTAATGATGGATAATCTCATAAATGCAAATAGATTGTTTATACAGATTATAACCGAAAATAAACAACAGTAAATAGAATATGAAAGATTTATTATGAAAGGGAATAAATAACAGCTCAGTTTTCCAAACTCATTCACACCAGAGATCCATTAAGGTCTTTACTATTACACACCACCAAGATTGCACCAGAGAGAACAGATCTATCACTCTGTCACCTAACCCACCTAAATTCAGAGGTAAGACCAAGAAAATGAGGCACTCAACAACTCACCCACTCACCACTGACCCAACTCACTGAAGAGGGGAAAAGGCTTGAAGATCTAGGGTTTTCTCTCGGTCTTATCTTCTGTCACTCCACTCCCCGCATTAAATAGGAGCTGCAGTCAAAGGTAACCGTTGAAGGGAAAACCACTGGGGCAAGCACGACCAAGAACGGCGGCGTTTGACCCATGGTTGTTGGAGCAAAAAGAATAAAGAGCAGAAGGGCACAAAGAGGGAGTAGACTGTCTAGAGCACAAAAGGGGCAAGAGAGTACAACGGAGAGAGAGAGAGAGAGAGAGTCGGATTAGAGAGACAAGATCAATGACCAGGATTACAAGACTTAATCTTAGGCTATGATTAAATCTCTACCACATTCCAACCATTGAGTTCTCTCAACTGATGGACCTTCCTAGTGGTGGTGTGTACATGTAATATAAGGAGTCTATGGGCTACAGGCCCAAACCACATTGGGCCACAACCTCAACAACAACCATTTGTCATAAATTAGGGTACTTATTTCTTAAAGTTAATTTTGAAAAAAAAAATTATATCGAAATTTAAAATTGGAACTTAGAATGTTGATCCGCCTCGAAAACATGTTGCCAGTTGTACGATTGCTGCCGAAAGGAAGCATGTGTCTTGTCGAGCTCGATCGCAATGTAAAAAAAGAAAATCGGAGTTAACACTCCGACGGTCAAGTCAATAGTGAACGAAATGCCACTTAGAGGTAAATTTAAATATTTTCGGGAAAAAAAAAATGGCCAACTTGACCTGCTTATATAAGGAGGGAAACTGCTATTTATAACGCCTGAGCCCATACCCTCTAAGTCTGGGGAAATCGGGGCGAGTATCCACCTACTGTCGCGTCCATTGTCCTTTTTCTACCTTCTCCCCATAATTCGAGTAATCATCACCATCTAGTCAACTATGGTTGTTTTTCGGAGTGGATAGCCTTTTCGCACGTTCTTCCAGGCTTTTCCTCCTTTTTCAATTGTCCTCGGTTCTTCAGTCATTAAATGTAGGCACGAAAACATGAAAATTACGCGTATGGATAACAATTACCTAGGAGGGCATGCGAAAGGACAGGAGGCGAAGAGACAATTGACAAGGACAGCTGAATAAAGACCCAAAGTCGTCCACCTGGCGATGAAACCACGTGGCCATAAACATAGGTACCTAACCTGCAAAGTCCGTTAAGAAGGACGGCCCAAAGGATTGTCCTAAAAAAGGTCTCTCTTCGATGGAAAGGTCGAGCGAAAAGGTTATTAGTGACGATGACCAAGTGGTTGTGCGGCCCACGAAAAGATGCTACGATAGCCACACCATAGGTTTTAGCGGCTATGGTCAATACGAAATGGCGCGTTATATGACCATGTCAGACGCATCATACGTTCGATAAAATCGTGATGAATTGAAGATACGGCCATTATCCGGTCATATAAACTTTATATTCTTCATTTTGAAGATTAAATTTATGATCTTTCTAATATTTTTTCGGGTTTGAATTGAAATTATATAAACTTCGATCATATTGAAATGTGCACGTGCATTGCACATGTTTTGCACGTTTTGGTTTCATATGTTTTTTTTATCTTTTCCTCTTAGTATATTTTATAAATTTTTATTATACAATATTACATATGCAAAATGTCAAAAAAAAATTGAGATAATTATAGAAATATGTATCATTAAAAGAAGAAAATATATATATACATATATTTATTTTTGAATAGTATTCTTCATTTTTGAAGATCAAATTTATGACCTTTCTAATATTATTTCGGGTTTGAATTGAAATTATATAAACTTCGATCATATTGAAATGTGCACGTGCACTGCACATGTTTTGCACATTTAGGTTTCATATGTTTTTTTTTTATGTTTTCCTTAGTATATTTTATAAATTTTTATCATACAATATTATATATGCAAAATGTCAAAAACAAATTGAGATAATTATGGAAATATGTATCATTAAAAGAAGAAAATATTTATACATATATTTATTGAATAGTATTCTTCATTTTTGAAGATTAAATTTATGATCTTTCTAATATTTTTTCGGGTTTGAGTTGAAATTATATAAACTTCGATCATATTGAAATGTGCACGTGCATTGAAATATGTATTATTAAAAGAAGAAATATATATACATTTATTTATTCATCTAATATTTGAATCCGTCTTCATGATTGTTATTTTAGTACACAATTCGAAAATGGCACAACTTTTCGTACCTATACCTCCAGCATTAACATTTTTGGCCTACATTCCGCTCAGAGACATGTATGAGTTTGATTCTAGGAAAACAATTGAGGAAGACATCGCCATGGAAGCTATGAGGCCTAAGAACTACAACATCATTGGGATATGTGGAATGGAGGTGTCGGGAAGACAACCACTGGGATAAGAATTATGAAAGAAAGTGACGGAAGAACATTTATTCAATATAATGAAATTCCCTTTGTGGTTGTGGGTCAACAAGCATACATGCATAGTTAGCATTCGGTGTGGAATGGTGGAATCAATGAGCTTCACATTTGAAGAGAAGACGACGTTAATTGTTATAGCTAAATTCAATATCTGCCACATTATTGAAAGCACCGAAAAGAACTCTTGTGATTGTAGATGATCTTTGGGAAATGCGTGCAAAGTTATTCTAACATCAAGACATATTAGTATCATGGATGTTGCTGATAAGGTTTATACGTTATCCAGTCTGTCTGAAATAGAAACGTTGCCTTTCTTTATGTAAAGGGTTAATAATTGTGTGGATGACCAAAGGTTGGCGAAGGACTTCGTAGAAATAGAAACGTTGCCTTTCTTAATGTAAAGGGTTAGTAATTGTGTGGATGACCAAAGGTTGGCGAAGGACTTCGTAAGTGAGTGCAAAGAATTACCCCTTGCCTAGACGACAATTAAAACATAATCAGATAAAAGACAATTGGAGGTGTCTTACGACAATTAAAGAAATCTAACCTAGTGGATGTACCAATCATTCTTGGAAAAGTCTATAAAACCATATAAAAATTAGTTATAATTTCCAGCAAAATGAGCATGCAATAATTATATTTCTAAAAATGTGTCATTTATAATACAAAACTATAAAACACATAAATATATTAATACGACACGTGCAATGCACGTGCACTTTTCTAACATAAGAAAGTTGCTCGGCTATTTTTGATTCATTATTGCGCATTGGAAAATTTTTATGTGCATCATGTATAAGGGATCAAATTAAGGGCAAGATAGTCACAACATTTCTAAATGGGCAAATTACCAAAACCCCCCTGAGGTAAGTCTAAATAACGAAAATCCCGGGGGGTTTTCGTAATTACGAGAACATGGGGGGGATTTTCGTTATTTAGGCTTACCTCAGGGGGGTTTTGGTAATTTGCCCTTTCTAAATAACTGTTAATAGACTCTTAGCAAAACACACGTGTATAATATACGACTTTTTGTGATTCTGTTTGACTATTCAAAAATTAGTGAAACAATTTTTAGACGAACTATTTCTTGATTATGGATAAACATCTTCTATACTGTATATTTGAGTGATAAATATTAAAAAATAATTTCAACATTTTGGCGATTTTGCGAAAAGCGAGTATTGCTTTAGTATACGAGTTTTTTATGATTTTTGCTTCATATTCAAAAAATAGTAAAACATTCTTCAAATGAACTACGTTTTATGTAATACTTGCTGATAAAAATCTTCAACGGTTTTTAGCAAAAATCGTGTGATGCACGTAGTATCCATTTTTTTTTTTTTTTTTTTTTTTGTGATTTTTTGCTTGACTATTCAAAAATAGTGATTTATAAATGAACTGTTTAATGACTACTAATGAATAAACATCTTCCAAAAATCTAATATTTATTAGTATTTTTTAATTAATGTATCACAAATTCAAGTATAATATATCCAAAATGTGATGGTATGAGCTCGTAAAAATCTAGATTTGTACAATGTTCTAAAATTAAATTATACAAAAACATATACTTAATAATTAGTTGGTATAATTAATAATTCGATCGAGATTACTCCGAAAAGATCTTAATGTACAGGATATTTTTGCCGAAACTGCAAATACATCGGAGTGTTTAAACTACGTACGTATTGAAATGGCCGCAATTAAGAAGTAATTCAAGTACCTCTTTTGCTTCGACGAAAACATGCAAACCCTAAGAGACAAAGCTGCAAATCTCGAAGATCCTCCCAAAAGTCGAAACATGGTTAACCAATGCAGAAGAGATCTTGTTGAGATCAACAGAGCTTTGACCGACGAAATCCCGATAGCAACATCTCTTGATGCATTTTTTAGATTTAATAATTTTAGACCTAATAATTTTGGATTTACAATAACAACATCGAATCCTCGGATCAAAACTCAAATACTTCCAACTTAAACGTAAACTAATAGAAAATATGTTTTGTCGTATAATGACTAATATTTCCGGACTTAAATAACGATTACAACGAAAACTCATTTGCTACTAGTGTTTTTGTTTTTTCTGCATCGGCAGTGAAGACGATCCAACCTGACAATAGGTCCAATGTAACTTTACTCAGCTACAAAAAATCGATAAAAAATGAAAAATAAGGGGAAAATAATGTTTTTGTCCCTCAAGTTTGCACCAATTTCACACTTGGTCCCCCATGTTCAAAAAACCCCTTTGGGTCCCTTATGTTGCAAAAATTCAATATTTTTAGTCATTTCCGTCAATTTCCCGTTAAAACTAACGGAATCAAGCGTGTGCCCATCACTGCCTTAACTAACGGACTAACGTTAAATTGACGGAAAAGACCAAAAATGTTAAATTACTGTAACATGAGGGACCAAATGTGTTTTTTGTAAACATGGCAGACCAAATGTGTAATTGATGCAAACATGAGGGATGAAAACTGTAATTTCCCCGAAAAATAATAATTTCAGAAATTGAATGTTTTCCCAATTTATATATATACTCCTAACAAAGCACTATAAATCATAAAGTTAATACTCGTCGAAATACTTACGGATTGCGACAATTGTTCGTTGATGTAAGCCATTGATCTCAGCACCGCTTCAAGTGTGTCTTTCGTAAGCTGAAACTTCACTTCCGTCTCGTTCGAAGGAGACTTGGTATAATCTTGCAACTTATTTAAACCAATTGCGCAGGAATATTGAAATTAATTACTGAAAGAAAAAAAAAAAAAAAAGTGTTTAAAATTAGTTATCGAAGCTTGATTCGAATACGATACCTTGAGAGCAATAATAGCCACTCGATTAGCTGGCACTGCACTCTTATTCTCCACAGCCCAAGTCATAGATTTCACCCGTGGAAGAACTCCCTAAATCAAGCATATTTATATATCGGCATTAGCTGGAATAAATATTAATTGTTTCGGAAATATTTTAATTCGACAAAAGCTAAATTTCGTTAACGAACCTATATCTATTATGATACTAGAGTAAACAGTAGCTTCGTCGATATAAATCAATTCCGACTTTTATCACGGCCTATTTTTCGTATTTTGTGCTAATTGTGTGCCTAGTCACTTTTTCCAATAGGAATTAATTCCATATAATGTATAGACTACGAAGAACCCGAAAAACACGAGCTCAAAATGGACTAAATACACGTTTAATTGAAGACGTATATTTCACATGGCTTAGCTTCTTAATTTCATATGAAAAGTGTTCGACGGAATACGGAGAAACAACTCTTTGCTTACCAGAATTTCAGGAGAGACGAAATTATTTTGAAGATTTAGCTGTGGGAAACACACCGTATTTCTTTCAGCATTAATTGATATAGGAACTCCGATATTATCACCATTGAATTGAGGAACTGGATCAACTGGCGCAGATAATAACGAACCAGAATTTTCCGATGAGGAAAGAGATAAGACAGGTGCTGAGAGAACAGCGTTTGTCTGATCCGAGAATCTTGTCCATTCCAAGACCTGCTGCCAAAGGCACACGTAACAAGTGTCATTTTAAAACGAGGATGACAAAAACATATAAAAAAGCTAAAAGATTTTCATAGTATTTGAGAAATTATGCTTCAAAAGCAAGTTTTTAGAAACACAAACACGTTGAATTACGGATATAATATAGGGTAAATTACGGCCACCTGCTGAGGTAATGTCAAATTACGGATATAATATAGGGTAAATTACGGCCTCCTGCTGAGGTAATGTCAAATTACGGATATAATATAGGGTAAATTACGGCAACCTGCTGAGGTAATGTCAAATTACAAAAAAATCCCTCATGTTTTGGTAAATACAACAATCCCTCAACTATGAATCTTCTTACACGTTCACCCTTGCGGTGTCAAATTTACTGGAATCTTATAAATTATATGGAATATTCTCCAGTTTGTACCCGTTTTACTCCATTCGAGCTCTGCATTTTGAAAGAAGATGATCATAAGATGCAATGGCGGATCCTCTGTGGTGCAAGGGTGTGCAGCTGCACACCCTTGAATTAAAAAAAAAATATTACCTATATATATATATATATATATATATATATATATATATATATATATATATATATATATATATATATTATCTATAACCCTCTAAAAGACCAGGTTCGAGCCCCAACTCATAATTTTTTTGTACCCCTTCCTATTTCCTATGGGCCTTTTAATTTAGCTACACATTTTCACCAATTTTAGGTCTAAATCTTTCCTAATTTTCCCAAAATTTGTAAATATTTTTTTTAAAATTTGAAGTTCTTACATATTTTCATTGGAAGATGAAAAAAAATATTTTTAAATTTATGTGTATACTATTAAAAAAATTGGGGGCGTTGCCCCTGAACCCCCATAATTTTTTACTCTAGCATTTTATTTTTTTATACTTAATTTCGAACCCTCTTGGCAAAAATCCTAGATTCGCCACTGATAAGATGTATCTCTTAGCTTGTAAATATCATATTGTGGTTTATCAGAAAATTGCATTTTTCATAAAACGAGTACAACTAGAGAACATTCCACGGAATCTAGAAGATTCTGTTGAATTTGACACCATAAGGGTGGACGTGTAAGAAGATTCATAGTTGATGGGTGGTTGTAACTTGTAATTACCCAATCAGAATGGGTTTTTTTGTAATTTGACGTTACATCAGAGGATGGTCGTAAAATACCGTATAAGATAAGCACCTAATCTCGACTAATGAAAATTTTACCTGTTCTTGGTTCAGCTCTCCCCTCCATTTGCTCCGATGTTTCTGTAACAATGTAAGAAGCGTGCTTTGCAGTTCCAAAGAAAGATCGAGCGGAAAAAGCTTCAAAACATCGTCACCGCCTAAGTTCTTGTGTACACAATTCCGAATAAGCAAACGAAGGGATGCCAAAACCTAAAATAAAAACTCGATTAAATTCATTACTGTATCAAATTCATCGAAAACAAGAGATTCGGAACGCGAATATCGAGCCATCCATTAAAGAACAAATAATGTGAGGGGGTTTGGTTTAAATTCAAAAAATTAATAGTGATATCTTAAAATTATAATCTTTCTAATTCTCATTTTTAAGATCTCTCTCAAAATATTACCACCTAATTACTCAAATTCGAATTAGATATTGCAAGAATTTAAATCCTACGGCATCAATTAAACCCAAAGGAGAAACAAAATACAAATGTCTAGGGTTACAAAAAGGGGGGAAATTTAGAAAATTGAATTTGCAGCAGAGGGTAGAGCAATTAACTCACTGGGTCAAGATCGCCGGAAGAAGGGAGGTCGAGAATGGACTGAACCGAAGACCTCTGCGGACCGGATAAACCGGTTCGCCGGGTCAGCCATAGGAGTTGGAGCAAGTTTTCGAGCTCTTGCTCAGATTTTACACCAATTAGTGTGTGTAGATGCTCCGACAGAGTTGTGTCCCCATCCATGGTTATCGAATTTCATCTCTCCCAAATCGACATAATTTTTCAAGCTCTTGCTCAAATTTAACACCACTTTTTTTTTTTTAATTATTTTTTCTTCTTTTCTTTTAGGAGACTGAGGAAATGCTTGATTTTTTTGTCACTGAATCGAAAAATTGAATCTTTTTCCCCCTTAATTTTACTTTTAGGTATTTTGATTTATTTCTTGCTACGAAAACATTTAGTGTTGGAAACTTGTAACTTATGGGTCATTTTACAATTTTTAAAAAGTTTGAATCGCAAAATTTTAAATATTTTTGGAATTGATAGTTGATAGTAAAATTTATTTTGTATAAAAATATCATATATAAATAAATATATATAATATTTATAAATATATCCCTATACTTTTAATATTTATACGTTTCTACCAAGTTCTTGTATCCCCAATTTAGGAACATGTTGTTTCCCCGTGTCCGTTTCTCCCATTCCTCGTACCACTGTTTCTGTATACGTGCTGGTGCTACATAGATTTCTTATCTTCATGACTTTCTCTTTTTTAATTTCCCAGTTTTGATGATTGTAGATTTAATATGACGAAAATAAATAAATAAATAAATAATGTATATCCATTTTTCTTTTATAATTAGATAGATGTAATTAGCGGTACATAATAAAAATAATATAATTTAGATTAATAGTTGATGAGTAATTGTAATAAACGATACATGAGGATTTTTTTAGTAATTTAATCTTAACTCACGGGAGTTGGCAGTAATTTGCCCTAAAAAGAAAGTAAAAATAGAGTTATGAATAAAGAGATGAGTATGCAGTAAAGACATGCTCTATCTAAACCACCAAAAGTACATTCATCTTAACTGCACAAGCAACTATAAAATAAAGGCAAAAAATCACACAAAAAATAAATAAAAACCGAATAAAGAAAGCGTCGAAAGGAACTCGAAAACATGGAAAAGAAACTTCTTATGATGTTCAAATTATTGTTTCTCTTTTGGGGTTTGTTCCCTTTTTGTCTATCACTTAATTTATTCATTAATCTCACATTTTCTTTTATTTTTTTGGAAATAAGTAATCTATTTATTTATTTATGTATTTGTGTAAAATCGACAGGACTATTAGCGGTGGAGTTTACGGAAGGAAAAGTTGCGGTTAAGACGAGGTTTATAGTTACAGATTGTCCACGTGAATGCCCGCTACTTTGTCGGCGTCATAAATTTATTCAAGCCGGTTGTGAAAGTAAGACCATCTGCCATTGTCGTGTCATTGATCCTCAAAAGTCGCTGTCCCCATCGCCGGAGTTTCCGCCGGAGAAACCGTCGTTTGGCGGATCAATGGCGGAGGAGCACTGAGATAGATGTTTTGTTAGGCTGCTACTTAATAAAATATTTACCTTGTCTTAAAATATTTACCTTCCAAGGGTAAAATTGGAAGTTTAAATTGACTTATAAATTGAAAATATTTATTTTTCTCTATTGAATATCTATTTTCAGATTGTATTCTATTTATGGAGTAATTACATTATATATACTTGAAAGAAATGGGTGAATTGCGTTTCGCACCCTGAAAATAACATAGATTGGTGACTTGCACCTTAAAATTTTAAATATGGCAGAATGCACCCTCAAATTACAGCTTAACCATTGATAAAATTCTCTAAAAATACTGAAAACGAATAAGAAAATAGTTGAGTTTGAATCACGTAGTGGCTATAAGGGGTCATAACCCCCAATGTTTTATATAGAAATATGTTGTTTTCGAGCAGTATATATATAGTCGACCCAGAAATTTTAGGTTTTTTTTTTTTTTTGCCTTGAAAATTCAAAATCCCGGCTCGGCCAATGACGGTTGTTTGAACTACAACTCTACAAGTCAATAAAGTAGTACATCAAAGAAAATTTTACCAAGTATATATCTCTTAAAGGTTAAAGAAAATGAGATTGCTTTCGGACAAAGATTTATTCATACAAATCGTAATTATTTTTGTCTAAATTAGTTATAGTTGGAGCTAAATTCTTCTTTTCTTGCTATTTATTTTACCATAAAATTAATTCGTTGAAAAAAAATATGAAGTTTTTCCATTTGCGCAAGAAAGATAACTAAAATAGCATTTTCTTATGTTATTAAATATAAGCTCCAAAAACATTGGAGAAATTCAATTAAGAAAAATGGGTAAAATTCATAGTATTCTGTTCGTCTTCTTCGTTGTGATAAGTGCTATCTATCATTCATCTGCTAATGGAATTACTGAAGCAAACCAAAGTGTTGCAGGAGATTATAAACATGGTAATTAATTACCTCGAATTTCTTTATCTTTTCATCTATTCTTTATATATATATATATATTTTTTTTTTTGATAAAATCGACGGACAGGATTAAAAGTGATGACGGAGTGCCCTAGAGAAGGAAGAAATGTGACTAAGAAAAGGTTTACGGTTACTAATTGTATTCGCCAATGTAAATCTATATGTTACCACAATAACTTTTCAATGTATAGATGTGAGAGTATGACCGTTTGCCTCTGTGACATTCCTCGTTACATTGACGAAATACGTTCACTGTCCGAGTCGCCGGAGTTTCTTGCCGGAGAAGCTGAAACGTGGTGGCTCATTGGCGGTGGAGGACTGAGATCGTACGGTTAGCCTGTGGGACAGATTATTTTCTGCAGTTCTATGTAATAAAAATATGTTCTCTTAATTAATTATTACTGAACTTTCTAAAAACTCTCTTTAGGGGGTTGTTTGCTAAAAAAAATGCATTGTAAGGGTGTTTTTGCTAATATTTAGAATATGTGGGGTTCTTTTAGCAATTCGGTATAAGACATGGGTACTAAAATGCAATAAACACATAGTTTTTATACGGTGAAATCTATGTTGCATCCGTTAAAATATTACATGGATAAACACCCAATTGAATACATCAAACTATGTTCAGCATAAACTTCAGATACATAAAGACTACATTCAACGTAACGCAATAAGCAAAACGTGAGAAATAAAATTAAACCCGTCGTATGTTTATTTAAAATTCCGAAAGTCGAAACTTGAGAAGAGTGCAGTTAAGAAAGGGGTGATGAAAACTTAGCCAGGTGGCCAGTTCATTTGTCGTCCCCCGAGCAGATGAATGTGCAGGTGATACACAGATTGACCTACAACATTAATATTTTTATGTTAATATCAATTAAATAAGACGAGAAAGGATTTTTAAATAATAAAAAGAAAAAAAAAAAAACGAGACATACATCCACTTGGCCCGTCGTTAATCACGAGCCGGAAGCCATCATCGAGGCCTTCTTGTTTCGCAACTATCTTAGCTGTGTAGAGAAGTCGGCCAAGAATTTCGAAGTGCTTTTCCTCTGCCTGCATTATAATTAATAATTCATAAAATCTTCGTTAAATGATAAGCGGAAAATAATAAATTAAATAGCTTAATCTTATATCGAATTCTACTAATTGCACATCCAAAGACGGGCAAAGGGTTTTTTTGCTGGAGTTCAGTTCCGAGATCAAGAAGCATATAGATAAGTCAACTACAAGTCACGTATCCATCACAAAAACTAAATAAAAATAAATAGAAAACGATGAAAAAATGTGTGTTCGTTTGCTGAAGTTTATGAACATGCAATGTTTTGATGCAGAAAATTTAACATTTAATATCTCGAGCATGCTAATAATTTGAATAGAAGTGTACTTATTTAAAAAAAGTCTTCGATTTTTGTCGATACCAAGACTACTCAAAGGAATTCTTTTGATATTCTTAGAATTTGATAAGAGAACGAAATAATGGGATTCAAATTACGGCCTTGAAGTGGATAAATATGATCCACTTCCGTCTGTAACTGAACATAAACAGCTGAAAAACGATAACAACGTAAATAATATATAAGTTCGTCTCATATTGTTGGCTTCAAAACGAATCATTAAAAAATATGTAGTGGAATATACCTTAGAGATTCCAGTTAATCCGTTCCTTAATTTAGGAATAACCAAGATGTGAGTAGGCGCCTGTGGAGATATGTCTCTGAACGCTAGTACCTGCCGGAAAAAAGAAAAAAAAAAGTCGTTTTTTTAGCATTTCTCACCAAATCCACAACTTACTAGTAAAAAATGAAAAATGAGACAAAATGAATAAACCAATTGGATCTCAAAACTAATATCGGGACTTGGAAATAATCATCCGTTCGTCACTTATAAGTAATCATCCCTAATTAGGTCATCGGGCACTGATCTTTTAGTTCAAAAATTTATCCGTAAACTTAATAAAACTGAACCAACTAATCCTAGATCAAGAAAATAACAGCTACCGGCCCTTCGATCGAGAATAAAACTTTCGCACACCAAGTGTTTGACAAATTTCCCCTCAATTACCAAGCAAGAACACACTTCATTATCAGCCATTAATTCTAGCTTTTCTGATTTTCTTTCAGAAAACAAATCCAATTAATCCATACAAATACAAAAACCTAATTTCCAATAAAAAATTGAATATATTCACAAATGGCGCACCCCATTCCCAATTAAAAAAAAATTAAACAAAAAATAGAAATAAAGGAAAATGGAGAAAACAAACATGTTCATCCTCGTACACGATGTTCGCTGGTATTTGCTTGTTGATAATCTTGTCGAATCTGCATATAAACATCTAAAATTAAAAATAAAAAAATAAAAATAAGAGAGAGAGAGATGGATGGATCCTGACATGGTCGGAGAATCGTCGGAAGGGGAAGCAGCAAGAGCAGCCTCTTTCTCAGAAGCCATCGCCGCCGTCTGAGGAGATTTTCGCAGATGAGAAGTGAGCACTGCCAATCGGCTGCTAATGGGGTTTTCTTCTTTGTTCATCACCCGACCCGACTCAACCCGACCCGTTTCGGGATCGATCCCTTTTCCCCCCTATTAACAATTTGCATTATTCTTTTATTTTATTTTATTTTTAATTTTTTTTAGGGGTTGATTTGTTACAAATAAATTTCAGAACTTACTATAAACCAAATTACTTTTAAATTTTATTATCAAATTAATTATTAATTGCATCAGAGTATATAAAAAAAAAATTGGAGCCAAGAATTTCAAATTTATAATATAAAAATATTCACTTGTGTAGAAACGAGCTCCGTAATAAAATTAAGTTCGAAAACTCAGCTCGATTGCTAATCAAACCAAACTCTGAATTAAAAATTTCAAAGCTCGATAAAAATCAAACAGACTCGAACAATCATAATCCATATGCTCAATCAAATGCACAAATTGACTGGAAAATGCTTCACTGGAAAGAAGATCAAGACCGAAGAATATTTCATATAATTTAGAAGATCCCACTAAATTTGACACTAAAAGGGTGGATTTGTAAGAAGATCCATAATTGAGGGGTTTTTTCGCAATTTAACCTTACCTCACGGGTGGCCGTAATTTACCCAAAGCAACAAGTCCACACACACCCTCACAAAACAAAAAACATATGAAGAAGCAAAATTTCATTGCAAAATATGATCAAAATGACCATAAAATTAGTTCCAAGTTGTAGTTAAACATCTATAGGAATGTACATACACGACGGTTGTACAACACTAAAGAAAAACGGGGGCAACAACCCCCCTACAAGTAAAGATGGAAATTAAAGAAACTACCACTGCCTAACGAAAAAAGTTAAAAACGAAAGAGCAAACTCAGGCGATAAATCTACAAGATTGTCTCTCTCTCCTCTCTCTCAAGTTGGGGCCGAGCTAGTTCTGCGCAGTTGATACTTTGGCTCCGGCGGTGGTATGCTAGGCAACATCTTCTCCAGTTCCTACCAGTGTCGAAAAAAAGTAATCGTTAAAATACACACACCGAATACTGATTCATATATCCATATACACGTTAAGGGATTTTTTTTTAAATTATTATATGAATCGAAATAAAGGGACTTCTTTGGAGCCTAAATCATTGCTTATGCGATTTCTTTCTGATAATAGTTCAGCGTTTAGATCGAATTGATTTAGCGGTACCTACCAGTCAAATGTGTATTTCGCGGTATATACGAGTCAAATACGATGAGATGGAACGAAATAAATGTAGGGTAAAAGGACTTTGAATGAAGGTAATGGAATAGTTGGCACCTAAAAGTCGAGGTGATCGGCAATTTTAATGGTTATTAGTTATTACTTAACTTCTTGATATGCATTTGGTTTTGAAGATTGGATCTTATTTCGATTAAATAAATCGGCAAAAAAAAAATCGAATCTTTTTTAGTATAGAGATGACAAAGCAAAACCTGCTGTCTTTTGAGCCTTTCGTTCTCTTCCTCCAAACGAGAAACCTTATTCTCGAGCTCATGCGTATACGCCTGTACACCCAAAAACAGAGTACGTACATAACCCATAATAGTCAACTTCAAAGAATTAAAGAAAAAGAAATCCAAAAAATCGAGACGACGAAAAAAAAAGAAGGAGAAAGGCACCTGCTTTCTGGCTCGTGATCTGGCGGCAGATTCCCTATTCTTGATCATTCTTTTCTGCCTCCTCTCGACGCACTTCTCAGCTATTTCATCGGGAGCGACCCTTTTCCTGCCAGGTGTCTGAGTGTCCGATAAAGTCCCCATCAAAGGCGACGAAACATCCATGACCGAATTTCCTCCACCGAGAGAAATCGGATGATGACCTGGCATGAAAACAGGCATCATACTATTTTGCTGCTGCTGCTGCTGCTGCAACGAAGGGATCTGATAGTTCATCCACTGGGCCGCCGCCGCCCCGTGACCCGAGCCCGCACCCGTTTTCCTCCGGCCCGAGGCTGACTCAGCGACAATACCGGCCTTGACCAAGAAATCCTCCAACGTCATCTCGCCAAGTGTCCCCTTCCGGTCGAGGCTGCTCCTCTCTTGGCCGTGCTGGATGTCCTGCCACACCTCGTCGACCGTCTTCTTGCTGAGGTCATCGGACAGCATGAGGTTCGAGTGCTGACTCAGCGGCGCCACGTCATCAACACCCCCCGTCGTTTGATTGTTATTATTATTCGATTCGGCTGTCCAGACAGTTTTGAGAAGCTCATCGAGATTCATGCTGCTTAGAGGCTTACCTATGTCACCTAAATGGCTCTGCACCTCATCAAGAGTGAGGTTGTAGAATGACCCTTGTCTCGATAATAGGTTCGATAACGGGTCGTGGGTTTCGGGCCGGGCTTGGTTTTGGATCCCATCAATGCTATTACCACCAACACCAACACCAACAACAACCCCTTGGGATCCCATTCTTTTAGCAACCATTCAATAATCACTAATCAGCTTAAAATCCCACAAGAAAAATTGTAATTTCGCAAAAATCCCCAATTTTGAATCAGCAAATTAAATTCCTTAAAGACCAAAAATGCTCTGCATGAATTCCACCATTTAATCTATATAAAACGAAATTGAAAAAAAAAAATCAGACCCATCAAATTCAAGAAACCATTTAATCAAATTGAAAGATCGAATCTTGGGGGCACCCCCACAAAAATTAGAACCGAACCGAACCAGATCAAATCAGAGAAAAATGCATGGAAAGAGATTGAAGGGAGAAAAAATCAAAGTGGAGAGAGAGAGGAGAGAGAGATGAAATCACCTGGAGAGAGAGATTTGAGTGTCCATGCAGGGACGAATGGCTTCGGACGCTGTCTAGAAGAAGAGAACAAAAAACCCACAAACCATACTGCAAGAGAAAACCTTGAACTCATAATCTAACTCATCACAAATCGTGGACAAATGTAATAAATTTAGGGGGAAAAATAAAATAAAAGAGAGTGTGTGAGAGAAATCAATTATCAAAAAATAAGGAGAGAGAGAGAGAGAGGAGAGAGAAACCAGACCCACATTCTGTTCTCTTCGCTGTAATAAAAAAGACTTTTTTTTTTTAGTAAAAAAAGACTTATTTTTTAGTTCTTACTCATTTTTTAGTGTCTTAGTTCTTACTATTTTTTATTTTTTATTTGAAAAAAAGGGTAAATTACGCTTACCCCTGCATTAAGGTTAAATTACGGGAAAAAACTCCTTATGTTTGAGTAATTGTAAATTTATAACCATTCCTCAAGTAAGAATCTTCTTACATGTCCATCCTTGCGGTGTTAAATTTAGTGGAATTATCTAAATTATGTAGAATATTCTCTAGTTTATATCCGTTTTACCCTATTCGAGCTCCACATTTTGAAATGAGATGATCATAAGACGTGTTTCTTGGTTCGTAAATATCAGATTGTGGTGCATTTGAACTGCCTTTTGCAACAAAATTGAGTACAAAATAAAGAATATTTCACAGATTCTAGAAGATTCTGTTAAATTTGACACTATAAGGATGAACGTGTAAGAAGATTCATAGTTAAAAGGGATGATTGTAATTACCTAAACAATAGGGGTTTCTTCATAAATTAATGTTTAGTAATTAGTAGCAACAGTTTTGAAGAAATAAACAAAAGAAATTAAAGCAATGGTTCTTTTATAAATTCTTTGTTACCGGTACTTGTGCCTGCATACCATTGGAAAGTTGGCAAAAAAGTAAATTAAATTAATATTTGTTTGCAATTTACTTTATATCTTGTTTTCCGTTTTATTTTTCGAGTCTAGTTTTACTTATTGTTAATTTCATTTTTACTTATGGTTAATTTCATGATTTGTTTACCCTATACCTGATGATAAACACCGGGTGGTTCTTCTGCCGCCACGTGTCTTTTTTTTTGTATTTTATAATAGATTGCCCGCTAGGGTTTACCTTTAGAGGTTTTAGAAAAATAAAAAAAAAAGGAACACGTGGCAGCAGAAGACCCATCCGATATTTATCATCGGGTGTAGGGTCGAAGGAACCTTAATTTCATTTACCACTCCTACTAATATTTGTCATTTGTCATTCATTTGGTTATATGGAGTAATTTTTTTCACCTACTAATTATACTATTTCTCGAGAAAAAATTATAATATTTTTTTAAAACAATTCCCTATAAAAATGTTAAAAAACATTGACGCTCAAGATCTATTGGAATTATTAAAGAATTACTATTGTTGAATTGTTGATTAAAAACAAAAGAAAATTACTATTGTTGAATTTGATAAAAAAAAATTGCTATTGTTGAATGAATTTTGTACAAAGTTTCATGGCCAAGTGGCCATAAATAAAATATGCTATGAATAAGAAATTGAAAAGAAATAAAATATTAAAGTCATAAATTTGCAAAATGGCATGAAAAGAAATTGCATGCCCAAAAGCCGAAAGGTAGAGACAATTAGATAAGGCCCATGCATTGACTTTGACTTTGAAGAAACCTTAAATTAATTGTATAATAGTTTCAAAAGAAAAAAACTGAAATGTTAATGTCGTTTTCATTTTACTAATATCATTTCGATTTAAAATGGGATATTGACTATTTTATAGTCCGATTTTGGTAGAATACAAAAACACGGAACTTGTAGCTCTTTGAGTTAGCTTTTTAATTCAATCCGAGTTAGGTAATTTGAGTATCGGATAGTAAAATTATACAAGAATGAGTTATGTTTTGTTTTAGATACCTTAAATTACCAAAATTGTAGAAAGTGTTCATTGATTTATGAATAACTTTATCACCCGATATCCAATATCGGCGATTCAAGTTGGAATAAAAATCTAACTTGAAGACCCACAAATTTTGTGTTATGACTTATGAGTATTGCCTAATTTAGACTAAAAAATAGTCAAAATTATGTTTGAAATTGACACAATGTTATTAAAACCGAACCGACATGTATCACATCCCAAAAATAAAATCCCATGACATATTACAAATATACGTGTATATATGTACTAAGTATAATACTTTTCGAAGAATTATGGGATATACATCTTTAAGTTCTATGTAAGAACATAATCAAGACCATATGAAGTCGAATTCTTTTTAAATAACATAAACACATCTTATGAATTAAGATTATCGACATACCATTGGTCATAGCACATTTGAGTGAACATGATAAATTATATTACTTGATAGCATTCCCTAGTACAAAACTCGATTTACTTTAAGATCATATAGCGAACTCAATTATTTCTAAACTATACCCTGTGAAGATTACACCAGAAGGATTCTTACCGTTGATATACACACAACAATGTGGATGAACGTGCATGCATTTGTGAGTAAATGAATAGTATACTCAACAGAAGATTCACAAACCATAGATGAAGATAAAGATATCAATCATTCAATTTGATTCATAGGTAGAAAATTATCAAGAAATCAAAGGCACCAAATTCAAACCTCCCATTAAAAACAACCAGATAGAAAAGAAAAAATATTTCAACCCAATTCGAATAAAAAAAAACGTCGGTGCAACGAGAGTCGATATTTTAAGAGCATATCCATCAGACAAGGTACAAAATTTTTGAACTAGGTAATAATCTATATCATATAAAAAGCTAACAAAAAAAACAAACTCATGCTGATTTGCTTAGGCTTCTGTCTCATCCACGACATGAACAATCTTGGCGGTGGGCTTTGCCAAGAGGTCGGTGTATTCTTGGAACGGGGATTTCGAGAACCTTGTTTCTTTCCAGAAGTCTGGTGTAAGGAAACCGTAAGTCTTCAAAAGACATTCAAACGTTGCCTGTAATGAAACATGTTTGGATTAGCAACTACAAAATAAATTATTCTATTAGATTGTAATAACCTCTTAATCAAGAAGATATTTCATGATGATACAACGGAATTCAATACGTCATCTACCAAATCTTACAAGAAACTTGATGGTTTACATAACAATTAATGAAAACCAAGATTTTACAACATAAAAACTAGGGCAAATTACGGCCACCCCTGAGTTAAGGTTAAATTACGGAAACCCCCTCCAATTTGGGTGATTACAGCCCTCCCTCAACTATGTATTATCTTACGAAAAGAACCCAATTTAGGGATGTAAAACCAAAGCGAAAACATTTCATACCATTTACCAAACTAAATATACGATTTGGTTGGGTAAATAACCGATTTACATATTTAAAAGGAGGGGTGGCTGTAATTACCCAATAATTACCCAAACAAGAGGGGGGTTTTCATAATTTGGCCATACCTCAGGGTGGCCTTAATTTGCCATAAAAACTATGTCGGAAAACAAATACTTAGAAATTAGTTCACTCAACAATCTAATCGGACAGAGAATCATTTAGCCTAAATGCAAACACGTTTGTTAGCGAAACACAGACAATGTGTCAATTAGGTACGTACACTGACAGCATATATCAACATATATCAAGTACAAACCATATCGTATATTCAAACGCATTAAGTTTGTAAATGCAAATCGTTACCGACATAATCAATCAACCATCGATTCAAATTTTGATCACATGCTCAAATAAAATCTAGACCAAATAGATTAATCATCGAAAGGGCATCTAAGGAAATATATGAAATATATAATATTAGAAAATTAATCAAAAATAATATAATCTGGTGAAAAAAAAAAATCAGACCTTGACAAAGTTTCCAAGGGTCTTGGTGGAGCCACGGGAGGAGGTGAAAACATCCTCAATACCGGCAAACTGGAGCACCTTCTTCGGCACACGCGCCGCCACAATTCCGGCACCACGTGGTGCAGGGACCATCCTCACCGTAACAGATCCACATTTCCCGGTAACCTTGCACGGCACAGTGTGGGGTTTCCCAATCTTATTACCCCAGTACCCTCTCCTAACCGGAATCACAGACAGCTTGGCCAATATGATGGCGCCACGTATGGCGGTAGCCACCTCCTTGGAGCACTTCACCCCCAATCCTACGTGGCCGTTTCCGTCACCGACGACGACGAACGCCTTGAACCGGGTCCTCTGACCGGCACGTGTCTGCTTCTGGACCGGCATGATTTTCATCACCTCGTCCTTCAGGGAGGGTCCGATTAGGGTATCGATGATTTGATACTCCTTGATTGGGAGAGAGTGGAGGTATATTTGCTCAATTGACTTGATTTTCCCGTCCCTCACCAAACGGCCGAGCTTCGTCACCGGCACCCACTTCTCCTCCTCCGTTTCACGGCGAGGACGGCGGCCGCCGCGTCCCCGGCCACCTCTGTCACCGCCGCGTCCGCGGCCGCCTCTGTCTCCGCCGCCGAAGCCGCGCCCGAAACCGCCCCTTTCTCCGCCGCCGCCTCTCTCTGACATTGTTCTAGGGCTGCTGATTTTAGGGTTTGCGGATGAATTTAGAAAATGGTGTGCTCTGTGTTAAAACCCTAGAACGAATTTATTTAAAGAGGGAAATGTGGGCTTATGTTTTCAATGCAATGGTGAGAACAAATTATTTCGGGCCCTGGCCCAATTTTTGCAGTTAAAATTCCAAATTAAAAAACAAATTATAATTTGCAGTCACCTCCCCCGAACTATAGTTATTTGACAATTGCACCCCAAATATTTAAACATTTGGCATCCACCTCGATTATCTTTATGCTACACGTGGTAAATGTTACATCGGGTTGTGTATATTTATATATGGTAAATGTTACATCGGGTTGTGTTATATATGGTGAATTGCATCCGGTTTAACATAGTATAATAGTTTTTAACGACCACATCCTAAAATATTAAAACTTTGAGCTCAAGCTCAAGCTCGTGTCCAATTTTGTGAGCTCGAGCTCATCGAACTTTCATTTTTTAGGCTCAAGCTCAAGCTCAAGTTCAAGTGGATTTATCGAGGTTGAGCTCTGCTCATTTTGTTAAATTTAATATTTTTTTTCTAATTTGTATTTTTATATTACTTTATTTTATCAATATAAATTATTATCTGACTATAAAAATAAAAATAAATTATATATATTTATTTAATATTATTTGTATTATTGTGTATATTATTTAAATAAATAAGAAGCTCGCGAACTGTCGAATAATTATAATCAAGCTCGGCTCGAGCTCGTGAACTCGAGTTCGAAATATTCAAACTCGAGTTTGAATTTTTATCGAGTCGGCTCGTCGGGCTCACTAGCCGGCTCAGCTTATTTACCACCCCTACCTTCAGCACTGTCAACCCCCACTCCCACCCCTCCGTTGCTCGTGCCAATGCGCTCCTCGAACCCCACTCCCACCGCCCCATTACAACACTAACTCGATCATAAGTATATTAGTATTAATATTTAAAAAAAGTTAAACCACTAAATTTTAACCATAATATAAAATAACCTACTTATCATTTTATTTGATTTTTCTACTCTACAAAATAAAGTAAATACTATGTTTTCTATTTTTATTCGAACTGAGTTAAAATTTTAATTGCATATATTTTTTTTAAAATAAATAAATAATTATGTTATTATGATACTGCAACCAACGATAAGAGCATTTTCTGCACACAGCACAATGGAGAGACCACCAACCAATTTGGTACCGATGTAATTGCCACAATCATACGAGGTCAATTTGGTCTTTTAAATAACAGAGATAGCCTAGCTACCCTTGTGGAAATGTGAGAGGGGTTATATGCAAAAGTGTGGGAGTTAAATGCTACTTACTCTAAGATTATGTACAAAAAATTGCTCATTTCATCAAAATTTCTCAATTGTATAGTTGTCATCAGTCTTATAGTTGTATACAATTTTAGGAACTACATATAAACTTCTCAATTGTATTTACCTTTAAGAATATACTTAAAACTTTTTTATCGAGTTTTCTAGAGAAACACTCATAGTTATAGGATTAAATCAATCTCCAACCAACTCAGTAAACTCGTAAGTACTTAGAAAAAATACTAAACTCCGTACATTCCAAACGTGTATGAGTATATATATTTCTAAATTTTTGTATTTGAATACAAAAGTTAAAACAAGAGAGTTAAATTTATAATATGTGTATATATTATGTACTTATAAAGTTCTTATTTGAAAAAAGAACTTGGAGGGTCTAATGTATCTTAATTTTAGTTCTTTTTAAGATGAAATTAAGATTAAGAGTTGATTGGAATTGATGCACGAAGTAAAATGCTTACCAAAATGAATTATGGTTGTTTTTAGGTCTTACGGTTTAAAACCATTTATTCTCCTCTACGTCACGGTTGGGACTCCAACCATGGATGCCACGCTCAAATCCACCTGTATCTCCGTTGTATTTGTCAGCATGATTTCATTTTAGGTTTAGTAATAAAATGAGTAAAATGTATATGCGCTGAAAACTTTATAAACGATTTATTATTTTATTATATAGAAATGGTTCGCGACATTTAAAATCTAATAAAATAAAATAGACAAACATTCATCTTTATTTTGTTTTAAAATTTATCATAAACAAAATATTTAAATTTGATTATGCTTGTCAACTAGATTTCTAACAAAGAAAGTACAATTTCCAGAACTGAAATGATTTGTGCAGGCACATATTAAACAGTCAGGCACATTTTTTACCATTCTTCAAAAAACAAAAAGTGAAAAAACTCAAAAACTCTCTCAACCTTTCGATTTTCTTTTGCAAAGCCCGTGCAAATCGTCAACAGATCGGATGTAATTTTTACGTTTTTACGATCCTCTTGTTATGTCGATTACGAATCCGAAAAAAAAAAACGAAAAAAATCGGACTTTGGCCTGCTCGTGTGAATTTACACGAGCGCATCCACTGCGCTCGTGTAAATCCACACGAGCATGCCTTGTTAATTTTTTTTTTAATTGCTCACCTGTTTTCACACGAGCTCGGTGGCCGAACTCGTGTAATTTTACGCGAGTTCGGCCAGCGAGCTCGTGTGAAAACCGGTGAGCAAAAAAATTTTTTTTTTTTTTTTTTTCGAAATCAAGTGCTCGTGTAAAAACACACGAGCAGTTGAAAAGGGCTCGTGTGATTTCACACGAACGCTTTTCAACCGCTCGCGTGTTTTTACACGAGCAGTTTTAATTTATTTTATTTTTTTTATAAATTTATTTTTTGAATTATAAGATGCTCGTGCAAAAACATGCGAGCATTTCAACAGTGCTCGTCTGATTTCACACGAGCACTGTTGAAATGCTCGCATGTTTTTGCACGAGCACAACAATTTAATTTTTATTTTTTATTTTTTTCATTTCATTATTTAAATGCCTTTTTTTATTATATGAAATATTAATAAAGTGCTTATTTTCAATTGTAGATGGCAGGAGGCCGGGGGAAATGTCTTATGAGTCAAGTTGCCGGTAAAAGCAAGAGCTTAATGAAAGCCTTGAGCGGGAAGGGGAACAATCCGGAAGATCCGGATCGCATTGGAGACCGAGATGTCCTTGCTTCCGCCCGTAGAAGAAAGCAGTTAGCTCGAGAAGCAGCGTTACAGAGGGAAGAAGAGAGACTGAGACGAGAAGCTGTTGCAGCTGGAGCCCAACCCTCTGGACCTACACGCGACCTCCAGCTAGCTCGTAGTACATTGCCACATGCCGACGACGATGATGACCACAACAACAATCCCGATAATGTGGATACTGACGAGGAGACGGAGGAAGATGATGAGCCAGATGTATATCAGGGTCGTAGAGGTGGTCGTGGCTTACCCTTTCCGCAGCTACCTGGTCCGGCGTACATGGAGGGTCCGTGCGAGGGAGGGCCACAAAATTACGAGTTTGTGCGATGGTTCAAGTCGCATATAGCGATGTACATTTGGGAAGGATATGTAAGTTTTCTGTCAACACGTGCTTTACATAATTCTTATATTATTCATTTTTTTAGCTAACAATACATGCAATATTTTTCAGGAGCGCCGTGAAACTACACGGTGCGAGTCGAGGAGCAAAGCACTCGAGGACTACCGCGGCCCGCAGGATAACACGATGATTGCGAGGCTGGAGGCAACAGGTCTTTACCACTTACGAGACTGTTTTCTGAAGAGGATGAACAAGAACCTCATGCTAGCTTTCGTGGAGAGGTGGCAGCCGGAGACGAACAGTTTCCACATGCCATGGGGCGAGATGACAATCACGCTCCACGATGTCGCTTTCATCCTGGCGTTGCGGCTGGACGGACCGCCAATGTCTGAAATTCGCCCGGTAGAAGAGTGCTCACAAAGTCTTGCATCTCTATTGGGTGTCCGTCTGATGGACACCAATGAGATGTTTCGAAACAAGGGAGTTGGTTGGGTTCAGGTGAGAGATCAGTTGACCCTTCCCTCCACCACAGACGAGAAGAAGATGAAGGGCTACTTGATGTTTCTGCTTGGGTCTGTTTTGTTTGTAGACAAAACAACGTGTAACATGAAGCCGTGGTGGATCCATTTTACCAACGATCTCGATAATGTCGGCAAGTATTCGTGGGCTTTCGGCATGCTTAGCAAACATGTACCGCCAATTGGGTATTGCCACCCGCGCTGGGATGAACAGTCTCTGTGGATGTGTTATTCTCCTTCGGGTACATGCACCTTTATTAGTAATTATTTATTTATTTAAACTTCTATGTAGGTAATATCAACAACATTTCATTGGTTTTTGTTTGCAGTGCTGGATCTTTGAGTATTTCCCCTGCTTTCGACCACCTCTTTCCCGTTCATATGCCAAGTTTGAGCCTCGATGCAGAAGGTGGGCCCATGGTGGAGGCAACAAAAACCACGCTGCAGGAATACCGGAAAAAACTCGACGCCATGACCGAAAGAGATGTGAGTAATAATTTTTCTAATTATGACTATAGTAGAGTTACGGATTTTTCTAATTAGTTTAAAATATGCTTAGGTTTGTTGGACCCCGTACGGTACCGGTGCACATTACTTGCATCCTCGGAGCATGTATTACGGCACGATACAGTTCATGGATATAGTGGAGCCGTACATGCCCGACCGAGCGTTGCGGCAGTTTGGAAGAGTCCAAACTAACCCTTTCCCGATAATTGAATCGAACTTGCCACATAACCGCGGTTTGTTTGGCGCGGGATACAAAGTCACTTTCCACGCTCCTGGCGGCTTGTGGCAGAACGAGTACGCCAACTTCATTGACTTGTCGCAATACCGTGATGCCTGGCCGCCGGAAACAGTTGCCGAGGAGTACATGAAGTGGTACATCGAGCGGACGCACCGGTCCATTAGCAACCCTGATAGAGTTCCGCCTGCAGAACGGGTTGTTGTTGCCGCCCCGCCAGACCAGCCGTTCGCCAATGACATAGCTCGGCTCCTAGTTCCGATCGTATTCGGTTTGACTGGTGACGACGCAGCAGAGGCATTCCTGAGCATTCAGCCGCAGTTGAGGGACTTGTTGACGCCACATGCCCACTATTTACGTCTCTTACCTATGAGGGGTCGCGGGGAGGTCCGAGGACTCGGGGTCGGGGGTCGAGGAGTAGACAGTAGGACATGTTACCTATTTGCATGACTTGTGTATTAGTTTCGATTTTTTTTTTTTCGATTTTCCCATGTGAAATTTGACTAATAATAATTAGTTTTACAAACTCAACTAATAGTTCAACAATAATAATTAGTTTTACAAACTAATTATAATTAGTTTTACAAACTCAACTAATAATAAAATTTGACTAATAATAATTAGTTTTACAAACTCAACTAATAGTTCAACAATTATTAATTTACAAAATTAAGTAATTGTTCAACAAAATTACAATAATACAGTACTACCTATGCCTAGAAGTCAACGTCGTCCAAAAAGCAAGTCGATCCGCGTAAAAATCTCGTAGAGGTAGTAAATTGGGAGCTGCAAAATACCTCCACTGAGGATGGAGACGAGGAAGAGGGCATGAAACCGGTACTCGTATGATCATAAAATGATCGTTATGTAGCGACATAGGAATAATACGTGATAACGCGGGGTTCCCAACTAGTGGTAGATAAGTGATGCTACCCTGTTCAGTGAATATTAATACTATTGTGTTGTATCTTGTAGCGATCGCCAACCCCATATCTGTTGACATCCATTTCGTCCGTGGCGCCGGTCCGCTCTCATGACTGCATGTCAAGATATAATTAGCGACTGTATTGCGACCCCCCTCATCCCCACCGTAAATAGTAGCATATAGATTGTAACGCTCCATAAACTCCTCAACCAAGTCAGTTATGACTTGTGGCCATCTCTCTTGACTGACGTAAACAACTTCGGCTATGCACCGGTAGCCACAATTTCCATCGGCCCTCACATTAACATATGAGGCTACGGACTGTGCGAGAAACGGAGGAAGGAATGAAAAGAAATTGACCCGGTCCCCGGCAGTAACAACTGATTCTTCCGTCGATTTAACCTTTGACTCTGGCGTACCAGCTTTAAGTTTTGACTCTGGCGTCCCTTCGGTCGGGGTTTTGCGACCCTTAGAGCCCGAAGAAGATTTAACTTCGGATTTCCGATTCATCATGTGCTCATATCCGGACAAGTTCCTCTTCGTTGAGTTATTCTTAGGTCGTCCCTTGGCCTTCACAAATGACGGCTCTTGTAAATGCGTTGAAGAAAGATTATTTAGGTCCCGTAAATAGTCGGCCGCATTTTTTAGGGACATGTAATCTTTGTTTGATAACTTCTCGAACTCATCGAGAAGAACTTTCTTAATTGCAACTGTGCGATCAAACGGTTCCTCCTCGTCCTCCCATGGATCCGACTTCGGCTCGACAACCAACGTTCTCCAGAATGGATGTAACTGTTGCGGATAAAAAGTATCCCCCTCAGCAATTTTAACTGCAATCATACACGCACACGGGAGGCCGTGGGTTCGGCTTAGGTAACAGTTGCAACTATCCGGATTCTCTTCCAACTTTTCGTACTCTTTATCCAACAGGTCCAGTGCTTTGTGTGATACGTTACATACCAAAGCACCGAAGCACGGCAGTGAAGTACTGTTCATCCTGACTGTTCTACTGCTCTCGTTTTTCACCTTCAATTCATTAATTTGAAGGTCAACTTGCGCATCTAGTGCATTTTGAACTGTATCCATAGCTCCAGTCGATGTTTTGATCCAACGCTTCGATGCACGATGTGCACTCTCTACCCTGTTTCGAGAAAACACTCAAATAATGAATAAATGTAACATGTGTATAAAAGATTGTACGTAACGAGTTTATAGTAAAATCAATTTATATACCTGTTAGTTGTCGTGTTACCGAAATGAACGATGTTGTTGGTCCAACACTTAACAAATCTCTCCTTATAAATCAACCACGTTTCATTGATGTAAGTTATCAACTTCGGATAGTGCCCGTACAAACTAATTATCTCTCTATAGTTGCATCCGTATTCTTCCTCAGTCTCAGATTCGACTAATTTTGCCCACACCGTCCTCCGGAACAGTACACCCAACTTGGTGTTACCCAAGAATTTTGACGTGTTTGCCTCAACGTTTCTGTTTATGTGATATAAACATAACATGTGATACGAATGTGGAAACACGTTTGGCAATGCTTTCAGTAGGTCCAACTCACGATCTGTCAGTATCATTTCTGGTTCTATCCCGATTGGTAATATGTCTCGCAAACATCGCAATGTCCATGCATAAGTGTCCTCATCTTCACGTGACATAAAAGCAACGGCAATAGTGAAGTTCCTTCCCACGGGAGTAACCCCAATGATCTCCAAAAGAGGCATTTCATATCTACATGAAGGTAATTAAAATTTAGTCAACTCTTATTTATATATATATATATATATATATATATATATATATATATAATATAATAAATGTAATTCACATTTAAATAATTATTACCTGTTAGTCTTGTACGTGCAATCCATCAGGATGACGTATGGAAATAACTGCAAAAGCTTTATTGAATCAGGGTGCGCAAACATAACGTCTTGCACTGCATCACCAGCTGGATTTGTTCGATGCCATTTGCTGTATCCACTCTCACTTAGTTCGTGCCACAGATGTTGTATTATTTTTTTTCCTTTCATTTCCTCTCGTCTAATTCTCTGTGATTCATTGTACACGTCTCTCAAGGCCGCAGCCGTATCCGGATTCATCTCTCTCAGATGATGCAAAATTTCCTTCGGCTTCACATGGCTCTTTTTCAGTATCTTTGTCACTTCTCGTTGCTCTTCACTCAGGCGACTTAGCGAACGTAGTCCTTGTGGATATTTATGAGGAAAATGATTGTGATTGCCATCTTTGATGGTAAGGCGCCATAATCCATCACGACCCTCTTTACCCCATAGCGCAAAAGGGCATTTACACTTTATTGAACCGGACTTCCGGCTTGTTTTGACCTCTGCATTTTTTTCTCGTCTCTTATAGGCTCTTTTACAAGTCAAATATTGTCGGCCCTCGTGGTAAGACTGTCGCCTAATCTCATGTCCTTGACTGATGGCCATATTCATCGCCTACTCGACTAGTGCATCTTTACTATCAAATGCAGTCGAAATTGTGAAAAATTCACTGTAATCATGTAGCTCGAATGTTTCAATATCTTCATCCACATCTATGTATACTTCATGTTTTTATATTAATGTAGTTAGCAAATTATAAAACTAAAGAATAAAACTCAAATAAAAAAAATTAAAAAATTGTGTTGCTAGTGTGATTTCACACGAACAGAGACGTTCTGCTCGTGAGATTTCACACGAGCATACCTTCTCTGTTCGTGTGAAATCACACGAGTGGGTTAAAAAAAACAATTGTTTTAGAATTTAAAAAAAAAAATTAAATAGCTCGTGTGATTTTAAACGAGCAGGTGCCACCTGTTCGTGTAAAATCGCACGAGAGAATATTAAAAAAAACAAAAAAATGTTAATGTGCTCGTGTGAATTTACACGAGCACTTGCCAAGTGCTCGCGTAAATTCACACGAGCGGATAAGGTTGTGGGAAAAAATGAAAAACTTACATTCGGGTTTAAGTTGTTTGGATCCATCGCAAAAATTGTTGAATATCTGATTTTTTTCACTTTGAATGTTGAGTTTTATATTTTATCGGATTGGGTAGGAATAGTACAAAAGGTAAATAGTTATGGTAAAAAGGTAAAAAATCATGGTAAAAATGTGCCTGAATGTTTAATTTGGCCTGCGTATATTATTACCCTTTCCAGAACCAGAAGTTCTCGGTAGCAAGAAGATAAAGTTTGGAAATTAAATTTTAGTCCTTTAAGTTTGGAAATTCAATTTAATTCCTTAATTTTAAAAACTATATGTTTAAGGGCTGTAGTTTTTTTATCGCAAAAAACCCGGGATATTTTTGTCATTTCATAAGCACAAGCGAAGAAAATATCGCACACGTGGCGAGTGAGCCACACGATCGGCTCGGGGGTGGTGGTTGGGGGTTGGCGTTGACTAATAAGCACAGGGGTTGTTTACCAATTTTTTTATGACGAGAGAGAATCGCGCAGTTGCGAATTTCATAGAGTTAGTAAATGCAATTCAGTCATATAACATAAGGTAAATTACACCTGAACTTCTGAGGTATGCTAAAATAACTTTAAGATCCATGTCGTATCGGTAACTACAATCACCCTTGAAACATTGTTAGAAACTCTAATGGGATAATATGTTAGAACAGGCAATGTGACGGCTTAATCCCATTTTGCACCCTCAAAATGTAAATTTTTGGCACTCTGCAGTTTGCACCCAAAAAAAATATTAGTAGCACTTTGCAACCTCAAAACACAATAAATCATGTACAATGCATCCGGAATGAATTTTTTAAGCTAATTAATGTAATTTAATGTTTTTAGTGGTGTTTTGTAGGATGTCAAAGTATTAAATCAAAACATTAATATTCCTCAATGATTTCGAAACTAAAATGTGCAAAAATAATAGTACTTCTCATCAAGATATTTAATAATTATATTTTTTATCACAAAAATATATTTTCACAAAAAACAAGTTTCATGTGTTGTTCTTTATCAAGTTATTAAAAACTATATTTTCTTACAAATATTTTCACCGATCACAGTAAAAGATCCGGTAATCGAATAATCTAATGAGAAAAGTATATATATATATTTTTGTGAGTGTAGTTTTTAAATAACTCTGATTTTTTTTCCACACTCTCTACGCTCGAAAATTGTGGTACATTTCTCAACCTTTTCGCATACAACAAATTAGCCTCTATGTTAGGGATTGCAGTATTCGGGCTCCCGCAAAACGAAGCAACACAAAGAAGGGAGAAAAAAGAAATCACAGAATTTTCCCTTAACATATGCACTTCAAAGAAGTCACGGTTCAATCATATTCGAGTTTAAGCGAAAAATACTACCCGACTGATTCGATATGCACGGCAAACAATCTAATTAAGGTTCTAAAAAGCAACAAAATGACAAAACAACTCGATTTTTCCAAGACAGTACTAACATAAAGCATCACAAATAATATGCTCCCACTCGAATTTCAAACACCAACACACTTATCCAAGAATATGAGGTTTACACAAAGGGTTTTGAAAACCAAATCACCTAGCGGTTGAAATATGTCGGGAAATTTGTCGGTGCAGATACACCACTTGAAGGAGGCCTTATTGTTGCAGTTGGAGTTGGTGCTCCACCCGTTCCGATGGAGGAGGATTGTCCGGTTTGATTGTTCTGGAAGGCTCCGAGTCCAAGCAAAGCTGCTTGTGAACCGTAGTTCCCTATCATGCTAGGGCCCGTCATGCTATTACTAATCCCATAACCGCCGCCGCCTAATCCCGCGGCAAACATGGGATTACTGAATCCCACCGGATTATATCCTGCTGACATCATTCCCAATGCTTGATTCTGTGCCATCAAAAGCCCACTCCCACTAAAATTATTCCCCATAAACCCTGCATTATTACCAACCATACCACCACCGTAACCAGTATCCGAAGGAATGATAGTATTAGGGTTCATAGGCGCGGAACCGACATTGTTCTGCGCGGGCGCGTTGTTCTTGTTAAAGTTGTCGACGAACTTCTTGCAATGCAGTTGACAGTTATCAAACACCTTAATCGGCTCCTCCATAACCTTCTTATACCCCTCAAGGCTTTTGTAGGTAATCATCGCAAACCCTCTGAACTTCCCGGTAACCGGATCAACACCAAACGGTCCTTCCTCGATTTCGCCAAACCTTTCGAAGAACGACTTCAGGCCATCGGGGCTCACGTGGGGGCCGACGTTGCCGATGTAGATCTTCCGGCTACCCACGTCCGACACCGCATCTCCGGCGGGAACTCCGGTGGATGCCAGCTGGCACGTAACGGTCTTGCTCCCGACCTTCTTCTGGGTGACTTTGAGGGCTTTTTTGGCGGCGGCGCGGGTTTTGAACCGGACGAAGGCGTAGCCTTTGGCGCGGCCTGTGGCCTTGTCCATGATTAATTTGCTCTCCTCGATTTCGCCGTAGGGTTTGAACGTGTCGACGAGCTGATCGGAGGTGGCATCCCAGCCGAGGCCGCGCACGAATATATTCCGGTGGGTGGGGTCGGCGTCCGCCGCCTGAACGATTTGAGAAACGAGATTTGGGTCCTTCGCCGCCGCCTCTTTGAGTAGATCGATAATTTGGGATTTTCCGAAGGGCTCGAGTAATTGGCGGAGGGATTGCTTCTTTGATGCCTCGTCGGTTGCTTCCTCGTCGGAGGAAGAAGATTCCTCCTCCTCTGAATCCGATTCCGATTCCGATTCGGATTCCGATTTCGATTTCGATTTGGCGTCCTCTTCCGATGAAGATTCTTCTACTTCTTCTTCGGAGGGATCTTCTTCCTCCTCTGGTTCTACTACTACTTCTTCGCGAACTGCTTTGAGTTTTGGTTCATTTGATTGTTGAGAAGAAGGGGCTTTTCTCTTCTTCGCCATTGAAGCAGATTTCCGGAAGCTTTTTCAATGTGGATTGCGGCAGTTTGGAATTTCAGTTCGATTTGATTTTTTTGCTCCTGAACCAGAATTAGGGTTTTAGCAATTCTTTTTGAATTTAACGCAGAAAAACACTAAAAGCGCTATTACACGTTGTAGCGTTTTTTCCTTCCCTCCATTTGTCTTCTCCTAATATCATTTATTATCAAAAAAAAATTTATCACTTATTATTTATTTCATCTTTTAATTCATTTAATTTATATTTTATATGTTCCTTTTTTTTTATGGATTTTATATATATTTTTTTATTTTTATATATAAAAAATTATATTTTATATGTTCTAGTCTACTAATATAGTCTTGAACTAAAAAATATTTTCTCTTATTTGTGAAATTAGAATTTATTCTATTGTGATTTTATAATCAGTAAAATCAACTTATATACTCATTATCAAATAACTTTAAAAAAATAATTTCAAAAAATTGTTAGATCTAAGAATTTGTCGATGTTTGTGATCAAGGATAAACTACACCGATAAGCCCAATAAGAAAGGAGCCCAACCAAAGATAGGCCCGTCAAAGTCGACGGCCAACGAATGGAGGTCCATCGGGGCGAAGCACGGTCCAACGAACTTCATCAAAACGCTCGCACGATCCAATCGCTCATCAAAAGGCGACCATAGAAAATAGGTGCCGAGATTAGAGAGCGGTATCTCGGCATGCGCATCGACGCTTGGCGGACAGATCAATTTTGGAACGTAATAAAATAACCTAGCACTTTTATCGGTTACAAATCACTCACATTCTCAAACGTTGCAATCCAAACGATGAATTGTCCGTCTTCTTTAACCCAATTGACTTAGAGGGTGTTTGACTAAACTTATAAATTGTATGTTTAACATTTTAAAGTTAAAAAAAAATGGTATTTTTGATAAACGATCTTAAAATTTTGAAAAAATAAGATATTGGAGAGTATATAAAATCTTTCTAAAAAGTATGTACACTCCACTTTTTAATTTAAGATTTTATGACGTAATTAAAATGTAAACCACAAATGTAACATAATTGCAGTTGTTGTGATTGATTAAATAATTATGGTCGGCTTGAAATCCCTAGATCCTTAGTTGGTGAGTATAATAATATTAGAGTTGTAGCTTATTTAATTAAAATATGATTCTATTTTTATTTTTATTTTTAATTTTAATTTATTCATCCATTTAATTACGATTCTATTGAATAGACTCGTGCTGGTTCAATTATTCTTTCTATATTTTATTATGTACTTTAAACTTTTAAGTTTTAACAGTATATTAGGACCCATCTAATACAAAAGTCGATACTCAATTAAGAAAAACATTTCCCACTTTGCCATTGATTTTCTTTATTATTATTTTTTTTTATCAATTTTTTTTTTGTGTGTGAGGTATTACCCTACTTAAGGGTGGAATTTTGAACTAAATTTAGAATTTGCGTTTGTGGAATAATATTTTTCATTTCGAATTTCAAAAATCTTGATTTTTGGTTTCTTTTCGATTTTTTTTTTATCGAAATTAAATATATACATTATGAGTTTTCATATTTCAATCATATCCAATTTTTTTTTAAGATTTATTTTTTTCTTTCGAAATCCACACTTACAGTATGTATATCGTTTTTTATTGATGAATAAAAAAATGGAATTTCCAAATCTCGTCAATTTCTATCCTCCAAAAATTTCGAAATTCCATTTTTTCCGTTTTCAAGAACGAGGGAGAAACTAAATTTTTTTACTTCCGTTAATTTTTTCTAATCTTTCTAACTGCTAATTTCGATCGATCCATCCGATTTCTAACCTTAAGTCTAACCCTACACCTGCATATACATTATTTTTTTTTTTTTTGATCGATTACCTGCATATACATTAATTGTGGATATACATATCTTTAATATTTGGGGGTCCAAATTACATTCTTGAATTCAATAGATTGGTGTGACATTAATATAAAACAAAAAACAAGTATGACATATTACACGAGTCTGAATAGTATATCGATACTCACACTTGTCAATGTGATAAGTCTGACTCCAAAATCATCTGACCATTTATTTATTTATTTATTTATTTATTTATTTATTTATTTATTATAATTATTATTGGGACACTTATCTGCATCAAATTCACATCACTTAATTGGTGGTGGGTGGCAATGCAATTTATTGACAGGCCCCAAAATTGAAATTCAATGTCGATTTTGATATTTTACTGACCTATTATTTGCAATAGAGACCAACTATACCATCAATCTAGTTAGACAAAGGAGAATTTTATTGAAATTGATTATTATTTTACAAAAACAAAAAAAAAATGTAAATTGGAGCGTCCCAAATTAGAATTAGTTTCATCGAATTGGAATGATTTTATCGAGTAAGATATCATTATACACGAGCAATTGAGTGCATGTGTGTGTATTCGTACTCACCTATACGAATATCTATGGTTGGATTTTGGGTCAAGAATGAATTATTTATGACTCAGCCGAATTCTATTGATAAATTGAGGGTCCAGACTCAACAAAGTTCAGTTCAAAGTGATCTTGACCATCTATTATTTCTTGATTTATCCAAACTACTCATGTGCAGTCATCTAAAATTGTTCTATAAACCCTAATCTCTTTCTCATTTTTCTCTCTTTGCGGTACCTATGCCATATATTGTCATTTCCCGACGAAAACTTACAGTCTGGGAGGCCCCCTGAAGCACATTCAATGTTACAAAGAGGGATAATGTTAACACATATCTCTCACATTCAAACCATCTTTTAACCTCAATCTTCTTCTTATGTGAGAGTAGATTGACTATTTCTGAGTGAAATTAAAAACACCGGGTTCGATGAGTGATATATTGAGAGTGTTCCTTGTTGATTGTACATGTATTGGTGAGTCAACTCAATAGTGAATAGGGATAGATCTAGGTTTTTATAAGAATGTTTCGTGCCTAAAACGTAACATGTTGGTGCTGCTTCCATTATTTGGATATTTTAAACGAAGGATGGGCTATTTTGAAGTGATTGAGCCATTAAAACTACAGCAGAATTAACCTCAATAAATTAATAACCTTAATTATATAATAAATTTTCCCGATCCCGATTCAGTGAAAACGTATTAAATTTATAACTCGATAATTTAATAATTCACTAAATTAATAGAATTTCTCTGATTCGACTGTATTAACAATGTCATGTTGGAGATAGCTTTGTTTGTATCATCTTCCTCCAAACTCGTCTTATCTTTTATATTATTATTGAGTTTTATTCAAAATGAGTTCCCAACTACATAAATCTATTTCAATTGATATAGCATTTACAATAATACAATAATCAAATATACAAAATTATCAACAAATACCGACTTGAATATTATATTAAAAAAAAATGCCGACTTAAAAAAAAAAGAATAAAAAGAAAAAGAAAAGAATAAAAAAGAAGGTTATAATAAGTTGTCCCCAGCAAAATGGCAGTTCATGCTAGGTGTGAGCTAATACCTCCCCACCAACACATTGGCATGAATTCCAATTGCAGATCTCATCTTAGCCACATGATTTTATTATTATTATTATTATGGTCACAATATTTTTATTTATTTTTAAAGCCCCACCAAACTTAATTCCTATATTATTACATCATACATAACTCATTGGACACACTCAAGTCTTTAGTGGATGTTATAGTATAGTTTTCATTCAAATAATTATTATATTAAAAAAAAAAAAGTATCAATTGAAATACATTACATATTGTTCGTCTCCGTTCCAAAATAACTGTCATTTAAATACGTAACGGTCCTGATGCAATAAAATAACAATTATTGCAACATTATTATTCTAAAATCGAATAAAAGAAAATCTTCACATTCACACACATATTTTTCTTAGGTGCAAGAAATTCAAGAAAGAAAAAAAGAAGCAATTAGTGCAATATTAATGTTCTAATATGACAAATAATATTGAATAAAATTCATGAGTTGAATTAATAAGTATATATAATTGTGGACAATGCATGGTACTATAATTTAGAAAGCCACATGCAATGATGGAATAATAAGACTTAGAGACAAAAGACACTAAGAATGGGAATGGTCACATGAAATGATTTCAACTTTTTGCTTTTGGCTTCAAAAGAGATAAACCATAAAAATTTATCAATCATGGATTAAATCATTATCTTTTTTTTCTTATTAATTAGACTAGTCTTTGTTATGCTGTCCAAGAAACAGACAGAAATATAGTCTTGTAATTTTCAGACATTTTTTCTTTTTTTTTTTTTTTTTTTTTTAAATATTTTAGTTTAATTTTTGCTGTATGGGTCAGGGTTTTGAAAATCATGCAATTTGGAGCTCAAAAAAGACCTGGAATATATAATATAATATAATGATATCTTATCTTTTTCAATAATTATAATGATAATAATAATCATAATAATAATATCATATATTACTTCTTGATTTGCTTTTCCAACAAATCTTGCTATGACCAGTCCGCAAAGTCAATTTTAATTGCTAGTTGATATAGAAAATTGTAGCACTTTCAGCCACACTATCTATAGTTCTAATATTAATCAGTGTTAGAAAAAGGTGCAAATACACGAGCATAAGATATTTAATTGTGGATCGTCTCTACTCGAGCCTCCTCGCGTGAATAATTGTTGCCAAACTCAGGCTAACAATCTCCCATCAGCAATTGCTTTAGCTGGGAATCGGATGTGCGACCTTAAATCTGATATCATTTGTAGGACTTTAGGCGCAACCATCTGCTCTAAAACCAATTGGTATGATCCAGAGTAACGGGTACGATTCATGGCTGGAGCAATTTCCGCGGGGGAGATTGTTAGTCATGTGGAGACTCGAGTACTTGCGGTCCACAATCAAATGGCGTGAGCGCTTATGTGTACGTGTTAAATGCACTATAAAACCAGGGTTTGCCCTTTCTAGACACCAATTGGTTTTCAGAACAACTGATAACATCTAAAATTCTATAAGTAAACACGCAAACCCATAGCTTGTCACGTACATACAAGCGTTCATGGTATTCGATCTTGATCCGTTCATACCCAAACATCCCCACTTGAACAATTGCCGCTAAACTCAGACTAACAAAAATTACATCATATATAATATAGTATAAATAACATTTTAACTTCACTGTGCTGATTAATTTCATGATTTCAAGATAGATTCTATTTGATTTTCATGATTAATTTCAAGATAGATTCTATTATTTTTTTTTTTCAAGGTTTCGAGTGAGTTCAACAACTTGGTAGTGCTGTAAGAACCATGTCCCGAGGCTTAATGTTTTTTAATTTCTTTTTAAATATATAATAAATATATAAATATATAAATTAAATAATTAATTATTAACACCTCCCTGCAAAATTTTGGCTTCTTTAAAAAGATTTTATTCTGTAAGAGCATATATACCAGAGCAACTTAAACTCCAATGGTTTATATCTCTAGATTTGTTTGCAATTATTTGCAGCTTCCAAGTTATTATTTTTATATTTAATTATTTTTTTAATTTATATGGATAGATGGTTGGTGAAAGAAAACAAGAAGATATCGATGTGGGATTATATTGACCACTCAATAATATAAATAATTAAATCATTCATGCATTGGCTACTATCTATCTTTTAGGTAGCCCTTTTAGTTTAAGACTCTGCCCTAAAGTATGCCCCACGTTGTTCTTCTATTTTATTACATTATATTATTTTGTCTAGAATCACCTAAAATTGCATGAAATGATGTTTTAGGGTTGGGTGCGGAGATGATTTAGTTGGTGGAGTACTTTGAATTCTATTACTAATATTTTTATTTAAGGTCTCGTTTGATTGGGGATATTAGCAGTGATTAATTAAATAATCGGACCTTAACTTCCTGGGTCGAACCCAAGATATTATGTTATCACGACTTACATTCTTTTAGCTAGCTTTTAGGGTTTTCATTAGATTATTTAAGGATCCCCCATTGTACTTTGGCTCAATATCATTTTACCCTCTTCCTATTCTCGAATGTATCGATTTGCCCCCTTGCATATGAAAAATTGTCTTAATGTGGTCCTCGTTGTTAGTTGTCTGACATTTAACCTTAACACCGTTTGATGTAAGTTCTGAAATTACAAAAACGCCACATCTCACAGTTTAAATAATTATTTAAAAATAAAAATAATAAAAGGACACCTCAATCGTGTCCTTTTCAAGCTATTGCACAAGCGCAGATGTGTAAATCAGACCGATCGGATTGGAACTACACCTTATAAAAAAGATCATATAACTTTTTCTTTTGAGCATTGATAATTAGTTTCAATTTTGTTCAAATAAAATTTGGACAAATCGGAAATAAACAATTCAAATCTGAATGAAAAAACGTGTTCCAAAATTAGAAAATTTTGGATTGAAATTATAGGAATTCAGTATTTTCATTATTGTAGTCACCTATATATAGAGTATATTAATCTAATAACGTTTCGATGTAATAAGTTTGATTTTCGGTAAATTAAAGAAAATCGGAAAAAAATATCGAATTGGAAACTGGATTATAATATTTATTCGAATTCTTTTAAAAATATTAGAAAAATAATAAATTTCTAGGCCGACCGAGACCTGTCGATAGCGAAGCAAGAGCGGCGCTACATGCTCTTATGATAGCTCGATAAAAATAATGGAAAAAATTTATCGTTGAAGCGGATTGTTTGCAAGTTATTAATGCACTTAGAAGTTCAGAGATCAACTTGACGTCATGTGGCGCTCTGATTGAAGAATGTCGTCTTTTTGTTAATTATTTTGATTCTTTTATATTTTCTTTTGTCAAACGAAGTGGGAATTGCATTGCGCATACAGCAGCCCATCTTAATGTAGATGATTATTAAGAAGATGATCATCTTCCAACTCACTTGGCATCATTTGCCTAATAAAATGGTTTCACTTTTGTTCTCAAAAAAAAAAAATCACTCTTTCAAAATTGAAAATATACTAATGGAAATCGGCACTATTCAAAAATTACGTTCCAATATCCACTCTACACCGTGGGCGAAGATTTACGCATTGCACCTATATAAAATTGAGTGCAAATTACATAGATATAAATAATAATAATAATAATAATAATAATAATAATAATAATAATAATAATAATAATAATAATAATAATAATAATAATAATAATAATAATAATAATAATAATAATAATAATAATAATAATAATAATAATAATAATAATAATAATAATAATAATAATAATAATAAAATTAAAAAAACAAATAAAAAAAATTAAAAAAACAGTTTTACAGTTTACTGATTATCTCATGTGAAAAAAAAAAAAGATTTTTTTTAACATATATAATTGAGGACTAGTTGTCTACTTATAGTCAGAGTTCAGAGACTTCAGATGCAATTTTCAGTAGTAACAACAACTGTGTGAATCCTGAGTGTGTAAAAGTGTGTGTAATGGATCCTCTGAAAACATTCAACTACAATTCATCGTTTCTTGATCCAACCCCTCTTCATTACAGATCTTCTTCCCCAAACATCATCATCACCAATAATAATAATAATATTAATATTATTCCGACCACCACCTTCGAAGATATCTCCTTCTCCTCCTACCTCAAACCCTGTAATAAAAACCCAAACCCGAACCCGCAGAAAAAACCCCATGAAAATTCCGCCATTGTTGACGATACAGAGATAAGCATCTTTGATGCTCAGAAGTATTTCAGCGAAAACAACGAAACCAAGTACAGTAAGGGTGGTGCGGTGCAGGTTCAGCCGTCGCCGGATAATATTTTGTCGGCGGCGACTAGGGTTTCGTCGGTTTCTTCTACAGATGGCGGCGGCTATGGCAGAAATTTCAGGACGAGGTCTTTCAATGCTACGCCGACGGCTTCGTCGGAGGCGAGCTGGAATAGTCAGACGGGGCTTCTGGCGAATCCGCCGGGATCGGCCGGAGTTTCGTTGGGGAACTTTCCTAATTCCGATCGTAAGAAGAGAAGCTCCGCTAAGAAATGGTTTTCCGGTAGGAAATGCTGCTGCACCGGTATGAAGTCTGTTCAGGTTAAGGAGGCGGCATCCGACTCGTCGGAGCACGGCGATAGTAGCAACAATGGCGGTAAGGCGAAACGGGATCATCCCCACAAGGCGGCGGCGGCGTCGACGAGGAGTATTACTAGTTCGATCACGGCCGACATCATGGAAATCGGCCACCACCAGAAGATGGGGTCGCCGGAGGATGATTTTCCGGCGTCGGAGGCGCCGCGGCAGCGGCGGATATCCGCCACGGGACGGCCGTTTGTCGACGGGTTTTCGTTCCCGATACTGAATAATAATAATAATAATAATAATACGGCGTGTTCAGGTGCGCAGGTTATTAATAATAACAAGAAAGGGATGATGAGTGCAAAAGTAGTTAGCCCTATGGAAGATCCGCCGCGTGATTCGTTGGAAGTTTACCAGCCGGTTCCGGCGGGGAGCCGGGCGGCGCATTTCAACCCCGGGAGTCCGATTGCGGCGCGCGTGGCGGCGAGTATGGACGACGATATGGAGAGCGACGCGAGTTCCGACCTTTTCGAGATCGAAAGCTTCTCGACGCAAACGACGTCGTACCCGATGTACCGCCGGAGGGATTCGCTCGACGAAGCCCCGACTTTCAACGCTAGGAGATTCGGCAACAACAACAACAACAACAACAACAACAGCAGCATTCAGTACGGGAGGAGGAGTTTGGATGAGCCGCCGACGCCGAGCGTGGCGGCGACTGAGTGCTACGCGCCGAGCGAGGTCAGCATCGACTGGAGCGTGACCACCGCCGAGGGCTACGACAGGGCGAGCGTCTCCAACTTCTCGATCTCCGCGTCGGAGATGGGGAGCGCGGCGTTCCTCCGGCAGCGGCTGCAGCACCAGGCCCAGGAGGAAGTATCCACCAGCGGAGACAACGGGAAGATGAGGAAGGGGAACGGAGGAGGACTACTGATGATGAGCTGCCGGCAGGAGAAGGCGGTGAACGTTGGACCGCAGCCGATGAAATGGGTACCGGCGGCGGCGGCGGCGGAGGGAACACAGATATTCCCGCTGCATGTGGGTGGTAGGCCACCACGGGCAAACAAACCGCCGATGGGGAGCGATCATTCCGCGCGGTTGTCCCTTGCTTTCGCGGCATAACAACTTGTCATGTTTTTCAATTTTTCTTTTTTTTTTTAAATTAAAATAATGAAATTTGGAATGAAGTGTTATTCGGTGATCATGGGTGGTTTCCTCCAAATTGGCACCACCTGTCTAGTCTCTGTTCATGCATACTAGTTTTTTTTTTTTTTTTTTTTTTTTTTTTCTTGGATATATTTTTGTGTTTTTTAAGTTATTTAAATCATAGTACATTATTTGATGGGTAATTTTGTTGTGTGATAATTGCATTTTCCAAGATTGTGTTTGTACGTTTGTGTTTAAATTTTTATGGGCACAAGTTTTCTCAATAAAGACAGTTCTCTATTTCATTTGTTATTTTTTTTTGTTTTCCCTTACATTCATTCATTAATTAATGTATCCTTGATTTTAAGTCACTATTGTATAGTCATATCAATTTTTATTTATATCCAGCTAAGCGTACTGCGTACATATAATTTTTTTTAACAAAATTACAAATAAAGAAATAAAAATAAATACCTTAAAGGGTATATATACCGAATAAAGAAAATTTGAACTAAATTTTAATTTTGTGTTCGAGTATGATAAGTGATAACAACACACATTTATTTATTGTACCCACACTTTCCATATATTCCCTAATCATGTTAAAAACATTCCTTGCATGCATGCATCTACATTCTAATGTCATGTTCCAATTAATTTTGGTGATTAATTGGAATAATAATTAGTGAGAAATTAGATAGGCATAGGTTGTTCCTACATGAATTGGTGACTGCATATATTGACGACACGTTGTTACGTGGAGATTCATCGTACGTCGAAGTCTACGTCTACGTCTGAAAGATAACAAATCGTGAACTAAGTCTAGGGCTGGCACGACGAGCGTAAAGATTTAGTTATAGTTAAGCTGTCAGCGGACGTAGCAATCAGATCATACATGTAAGCTAAACATTGGTAGGTTGAAACTCGAATATTATTAAACTTTATAATTAATTTGAAACTCAAATGTATATTATAAAAATATTAGACTCGGTTCAAATAAATTCGTGTTGAATAAGATCGGACTTTCGATTATACCCAATTAGCAATAATAGTTCGTTTATTCTGAGTTTTGTAGAACTTATACCTAATGAAATACATCCTATAATTATATACTATTAATCTGTGTAATTTACGGTTTAAAATTCACACAATGTATTTCATCAGTATACGTATGCCATATATTCTTACGTGTAAACATAGATGCCCACTATATACAATGTGACTGGCCACAAGATCGCCTACGTATCTAATATCACAAGAATAATATTAAATTTATAATTAACCGGATCTTTAATACCAATCAATAATATCTTAATTAAGCACTAATCATCTAATTACGCACACTAATCCATATTAGAAAGGCGTACACGTAGTCAAAAGATTGACCACAAGATCTCTAATACCTTAATATTTGGTGCTACAGGTTAGTTGACTGGGTCACGGGTGGCACCTGACAAGTTTATTAGATTTAATTAATCAATAATTTATTTCAATTTTCAACAGATTATAGAGTTTTTTAAGCAATCTTATAATTGTGTGACAGACAATTCTTTTTGTCTGCTACCTCTCATATCAATTATCCGAATATTAAATTTTTTTTTTACGTAGATATCAATTGGCATTTTAGCTCCACAATCGATTAATTACTATCGTGTAATAATTTGTAAATCATACGAGACAATGTAAAAAAGGTTATTAACATCAAAGATAAAAAATCAAATTGTTGCACAACACACTCTTATTATAATTCTATCAATTAGTTCATCGAAAAAAATACAGTTTTTATTTCTCAAGTTTTAAAAATTAAACACTTTTAGTTATTTTCGTTAATTTTTTATTAGTACTAATGGAATTATGCCCATCGCTGCCTTAACTGTAGGATTAACGGTAAATTGACGAGAATAACCAAAAATATTAAATTACTGAAATATGAGGGACCAAATGTATCTTTTTGAAAATACGAGGGACCAAATGTGAAATCCGTGCAAACCCGAGGAGTGAAAAGTGTAATTTTCATATTACTTCATGGTTACAACTTACGAGTTAAATATGAATTAATGTAGTGGTCCTAATCAGTTTTATAAGAATGGAAAAGTAAGTAAATCAAAGTTCCACAAATATGGCACCTAATTATGTAATCATTAGCCAGCAAATAATTAATAAGAATACTTTTTGAGAAGCCGTCGGAATGTTTTAGCGTACTTTTTAAATTAATTATACGACTAATTAAATGTTTAATTAATATACTAAACATGTGGCTAATAATAAATATATCCTTCAATTTGTTATGATAACATGTTGCAATATGAATCAATTGTTCCCCCAATAATACAATATCCCTTTACAATTTGCTATAACTAAATAATCTAATTTTTCGAAATATTAGTTAATAATAATATTTCTGATAATTTATTTAGAAAATAAATACAAAAATATTAAAAAAATATTCGGAAGTTTATAATAAAAAAAGTTGTAATCATGATGCTGGCCTTCAATTAAGTTTTATTCATTATGTAGACTGCATTTAGCATTTTTTTTTGTGCGCTTTTTTAATAAAAAAATTTAGTATAAATAAATTTTCTGGTTTTTTTTTTCCCGGCAAATTTATTACGTCGAATATGACTACCGCGGTAGTTTGACCACATTCGCGGTGGTCGGTCTCGCCTCTAAACTCCTTCACATTTTCAGCCGTTTGTTGTACAAATGCGAATGGATCCCCAACAACGGCAATTCCTCAATTAAATCAAAGGCCTACAAAATACTTCCCCCGATTGGGGCTATGGCCGCGTCTACACATTCATGTCATCAATTGCACGTTGCCCAACGCCGACAATAGCGGCGGCAAGCTGACGGTGTACGCCTACTACTGCGAGTCAAGTGCGAGTCCAAGTACTCACCACCATACAAATATGAGTACCTCTACTGCAGCTCCTCCTTGTACAACAACCACTATCGCCCTTTTTCTCTCCTCGTATGTTTTTCCAAAAGAGTCGACGACGGTGATGCATCTCTATGAGGACGACGAATTGAATTTCTTTACGAGGGGATGCATTTGCAATTTCTTAATTTGTTCATAAATTTGATATTATTGTGTTTACAATGAACGCGCACCTCGCCACTAGGAGCATAAACACATGGTAATAATTTGTTTTGTTTTTTTTTTTTTTATTCGATGGAGGATAGTTAGTAGTTCTCCTAACTCCCCTTTCTGACCAAATACGTCGCGTTGCAATTTACTTACCAACAAACTACATTGTCTTGTAAAACAGATCGTACCTGATCGACGCATGTTCGAATCTATGCGACTCATTCGTAACTAATCTTTATATAAAAAATAATTAAAAAAATACTAACTGAGTAGTCATCTAGAAGTGGTGGAAAATAGAAATAAAGAAATTATGAGATATTTTTTCTTGAGAGAATGAAGCCTCCACCACACACATAACCAAACAAAACAATCAAGAAATTTCCAAAAAAAAAAAAAAGAAAGAAAAAAAATCAGCCATTTCAATGGCAACTCATCTCCCAACTTCTCTCCCACCATCAACAACAACTCATCATTTATCATCAAACAAATCAACCATTTTCCTCAATCCAAGAATCAATTTTCTCCACAACTTCAATCCAAATAAACCGATAAAATTCTCGACAAATTCGTATCGAATCACCACCCGAGGCGGCTTCACTGATGAAGAAGAAGAAGAAGAAGAAATTTGCAGCTTCGAAGAAGCCGTCACCCTTTTCAACAAAAGGGATTACTACAAATGTCACGATGTTCTAGAAACACTATGGAACAATTCCGAAGACCAGAAACGCACACTCGTCCACGGCATTCTCCAATGCTCCGTCGGCTTTCACCACCTCTTCAACCAGGTAACTATTTAATTCCATAATTTTAATTTCACATAGTTTTTTTTTTTCATCGAGTCGATTTAGGTATTAAGGTTTGCGGTATTAGGGTTTGCAGTGCTATTTTTTTTCCTTGGACAGAATCACAAGGGAGCAATGATGGAATTGGGAGAAGGGGTGTGCAAGTTGAGGAAACTGAACTTCGAGAACGGCCCTTTTCATCGATTCGAGAAAGAAATCTCGGCCGTGTTGGAATTCGTTTACGAGACTCAATTAGAAAATGCTGCATGTAAGTTAATTTCAAGAAAACAGAGTATTTTTTCTTAACTATTTCTTGATATATAAGAAATTTCATGCAGGCAGTGAAGATGAATGCGTAGCAATGGACCAATCAGAGAAATCTTACCAACTACTCGGAAAATATGCAGCGGGCGAACGCCTCTATCATTTGGAAATCGATCGGAATTGGAACGCCTTCATAGTTTTCTGCCCCGAGAATTACAGGGGCACGGGCGTGGGCCCACCTAGTATAAAGATTCCTGTTCTTGAAGCATCTGAAGAAGATATTATGGCTTTGGAAGAGTAAATCTCTAGTTCGATCTTTCAAATGCCGAAATATTTTAGTGTTTTTTTTTTTTTTTTGTCAAGAAGATAATTTGAGCAACAAAAGTGAAGCTCGATTGTACAAAAAATGCATAGAAAAGTTATACGGGAGAGACGAACAATCTGTGCTAAAGAATGTGACAAGAATTAACTAAATAATAATGAGAATAAAAAACGAAAAAAATCTGCGTTGTTCTGAAGGCAGCTGATGTCGTGCAATCAGAGAAGCGGCGTTGCGTTTGTGGCTCACCGGAATACGCTCCTGAGAATATTTTCTATAAATATTATTGAAGTTTAAAAAAAAAACTCTATATAAATATATATATATATATATATATATATATTGCAAAGATAAAGAGGCACGTAGATTTACCTATGATGTCGTTTAATCGCGATTTCAGAGCCATTCAAGATACATACTTGTCGACTCTAGTCCTCGATCGGTAACGGAAGTAAATAAACTGAGTAAGAATCTGAACAATATATTAAGGAAATACAGAAAAAATCTAACAAATATAAATAAGCAATCAACTAAGAACGGAGCCATCTTTAAATCCACGGTGAATTTTAATAAAACAATTAAAAAAAAAAGGATACGAAAGCGTCGAGAAGGACACAACCCGCTGCATCCACCAGCCAAGGAAGATTAGGTTTTATTTTCACCCAGCTTAAGCTGTTAACAAGAATGCTGCACACGAAAATAAATAAAAAAAATAAAAAATGTTAACGAGGTAATAAGAGATACAATTTAAATAAAAAAAAAAGATTATTTTCGGTTTTATTTAAGTATGCTACCTCGCCACATATGTAGTATTGCCAACAATAGCAAAGACGAACATTAGCGGGTTCAACCCCTGTACGAAAAACCACGATAAAAAATTATACATTAAAAAAAACGAGTTTAAATTGATTTTTTTTTTAAATTATGCGATTTTCGTTTGTTAATAAAAGAACGAGAAATAACATACTTACTTCCGCATTACCCTTTCTGATCTGCAGAAAATGAAGAAAAGGAAAAAAGTTAAGTTCTATAATTACGTAATAGTAATAATAATAATTTTTTGTATTTTTTATGTTTACGTTTAGGCAAATTTGCGGAAGACGCCCCCCGACGTAAATAACTGCCATTCCCCAACCAAGAAACGAGCCTATCCTACTACTCCCCGAACCCGAAGTTTCTTGTGCTGAACCAATAGTTGCCTGCGATATAATATAGATAATCAGATATATACATCTTTTGCTAGATATAAATTAATTTAAATATCGGTCGTATAAAAAGTTTACCTCCAAGAGTCGTCTCCCCACTCGGAAAACCACGCCACCTGTCGGATTATTTAAACTAGTGACGTTTTCACGATTTGCTGCTAATTGGTTAGTGCAACTTCCGATAAAGAATGTCATCAGGGAAACCTGTTAGTACATAAAAAAACGCAACGATAAAAAATTAAAACGGTGATCGATTATAATTTTTAAACTTCATATACTACATAATATAAGAAACTAACCACACACAACATGGTTTTGATTTTCGGAGGAGTGGAGGAAGTTTGTGGCGGCCTAGCTTCACCGAGCAATGGTTTTTCGACATCCGAAGTTGGAGTTCTCCCTGTTAGGAAAGATCCAGCTGGCGGTGTATGGCTCACCGAAAGAGATCTTGCTGACCTGGCAATATTTCATATTTACGATCATGTAAAAAACGAACAAAATACAATTTTTTTAATGGAGGATTGGGATTTTACTTACATAAAATATATTTCTTCGAAACCGGTGGGGGAATTGTGTGCAACGGGAACAGGTGAGCTCGGTGCACCTTCAAAACTCTCTTCGTTATTTGATTTTTCGGTATCGTCACTGTAACCGTCGTCTCGTTTTCTTTCCATATCCTTGCAATACATATACAAAAGCACTATTAGAAGCTGTTGCGTAATATATAGATACACATATAGATAATATATAATATATTTATATATGGTATAAATTTGAAACCTCTTGCTGAAGTCTTTTATTGAACTTGAGCCGTGGTTTAATGTTTCCGTAGTAGACAGATTGCGAGGCAAGAACTAAGGAAGTTACTGTATACAACTGCAATTAATTGCGATAAAAATTGTTTATTCAAACAGATTAATTGTCGATGATATATATATAAAAAAAAATGAATTTTATTGTGTACCACTGCTGTGTAATATTGTGTTGGAAGCTGCAAAGAAAGAACACGTGTTAGAAAAATAATGAGACCGAAACGAAACTTTCAAAATCGAAAAGAGATAATATGAAATAAACGAAATAGAACAACTCAATATCAATACACGATTCGGAATTACCATTTCAAAACGAGCATACCAAAATTGACAGTTTCACTTTAAAAAACATTTCAGGGGTTGTTTATGTAGATAGATAGGCAGAAAACGGACAATTTTCACATCCGATTATGTTAAAGAATTCATTTTGGCGGGCACAATTAATATCGAAAACGTTAAAGAATCTTGTAATTAATTAAAGAATAACGAAAAGCTGTTCGATTAGAAATAAGTGTTGCCTAATTAGAGTGAACAACTCACAGTTGCCGGTTCTAACATGCAGCCCGCGAGGTTGAAGAAATCTCTGCAAAAACAAGTGATTAAAAAAGTAAGTAATTAACGAAAATCGCAAATTAACTACAACGGAACTACGATTATACTAGAAACGAAACGTCTACGCAATCAATCATCAAGCTATGTTCAATAACATCAAGAGGAACTAATCAATGACATAATTAATATTAAAATAAAATAAAATGTATGTGGTTAAAAATTCAATCTTTACCCCTAAATTTGCAAGAGGAACCAAAATCATTAAAAAATTCGACAACGAACCACCCTTTTACCAATAAAAATCTATTGAATCAAATAACAAACTCCATTCATCCTCGGAAAAAAAAATCAAAAGAATTCAACTTTAAGCAAAACCCACCACCAAAAAAACAATCATTAAACAAACACGATCAACATTAACGGAGTAAATACCCAACAACGAGCCACCCTTTTACCAATACAATCTATTTAATCAAATAACAAACTCCATTTATCCTCCGAAAAAAAATCGAAAGAACTCAACTTTAAGCAAAACCCACCACCAAAAACAATCATTAAACAAACACGATCAAAATTAACGGAGTAAATACCCAACAACGAGCCACCCTTTTACCAATAAAATCTATTTAATCAAATAACAAACTACATTCATCCTCATAAAAATCAAAAGAACTCAACATCAAGCAAAATCCACCACCGAAAAAACAATCATCGAAAAAACGAAAACACAGATTAAAAAAATAACAGAGCATGTATATACCCAACGATCCACGTCGAAAGAAACACGATGGAGAGCCCCTCGGCAGAGTTCTCCCTGTAATTGGTGATGATCTGAGGTATTTCAGCCACACTCCACGTCAGCACACTAATCAAACCAAGAGCCAATGAAAAGCCATCTTTTGTGCTGCAAAGACAGTACCCCATGTATTTTATTGCCCATTCAGAGCAATGCTTATCAATGGGGCAAATCTCTGGCTTCCTTCTCAACTTCCCCATTCTTGAAAATGAAAAAAAAACACAAAAAAAATTCAAATAAAAATCCAATCTTTATACAAATAAAAACACAGATTTTATTATACACACACATATATTTATATATACATATAAAAGGGATATGGGATATACAAGGAAGGTACCAGCTGTGCGTGAAAACACAAAAATTTAAAATAAAAATCCAATCTTTATCAAAAAAAAATTGATGGAATAAAAGGAAATTATTTGATTTAGGGGAATCTTTAATTATAACCAGACATCTACATCAAAGAATCATAATTTGAAAATAGAAATTGAATTTGAAATAGAACTCACAGTGAAGAATGCGGTGCTAATTTTTTTTCTTTTTTTTTTTTTACCCTTTTTTTTTACATACAGATATGAATTGTATCTATATATACATCTGTATAGTGTGTTTGTGTGTGTGTGTGTATATTAGGTTTGTGGAGAAATCTTGAAATTTGGGTTTTGGAGTGTGCCGCCTTGTGTCTTGATTGCATACGTCTATAAGGTGGCAGAGCTTGGGAGTTCTTGAAATTTATTTATTTTTCGACCCCTCAAATTGTTTCAATTATCAAATGTGCCTCAATATTTGTTACAAAACATTCCAATATTTTAGGAAATTAAAAAACTTCAAATAAAGTATGTATTTTATTGCATATGGTGTTGAATGAGAATATAAGAGGGTAATTAATTACTCAGTGGCTTTTATGGAAGGTATAATATGCTAAAATTGGTCTGAGTATCCACTCTATAAATGTTTACATTGTATATTAGCTTTTAAATACACACACATAATTTTATTGAGTAATATAAATGTTATATTATAATGAAATATGATATTTTTATGAATCAAAACAATTTCATTGTATTTGGCTTTATTTTTTGTGGTTTTTGTGGATTTCAAATGTTTATTTGCTCCACAAGAATAATTCGTCGCAATTAATTCTTCCATACACAAGTTGTATATGACGATTGTGGAACAAAACTATATCCCAAATAAAACAATCTGACGGATAAAACTCATGAGCATAGCTTATGAATCATGTAATATTTCGATGTTTTGACGTCGTTTCGACTTATAAAAAATCCAATTTAGATATTTAATATTTCGATGTTTTGAGTATTTCGTTAGTAGGGTTGTTTCTAAAAATACGAGATCTATTAAAGTTAGGTATTAACTCATTTTTGCCTTTTCTTTTGTAAAATGGTCGTTTTTCCTGGTTTGATAAGGTTTTTTCATTTTTGAGTTTTAATAACACGTTATTACTTTTATGAAGTAAGACTACGTATGTAATATCTAGTATTTAAAACAAGTTCGAAGGTGGTACAATTTCAGAGATTTTCCGCTAGCTCTTCGGTGGATTTCGAATGTTTATTTGCTCAACAAGATTATTAGTTCTGACTTAATTAATTCTTACATACAAGAGTGGTATTTTAGTTTGTCACACCAAATTTGAGCGCGTGAGAGAAAAAAAAAAAAAAACAAAGAGAGAATGAAGACACGCGGGGGGAAATAACAAATAGAACAAAAGAAAAATCATTCACGTACATTCTCATTTCTTTCAAATAAATCGATGTTGTCCAAAAAAGTTGTACAACACAGTTTTTTCGAAAAATGTTTGTCGGAACACGTTTTCGAAAAAAAATTGTTTGATGAAAAAAAATTAAAAATATTGATTTTTTTTTTTTGGCAAAAATAAATAAATATAAATTGAAAACGATTTTGTTAAAACACAATTTTATGACTAGTAGCGTTAGTTTAAGTGGAAATGAAGTGCACTTGCAATTCTCATATAAAGTGAGGGACATTCTAGACATTTCGGAGCTAACTATAAGCAAAATTTAAAAGGAGAATTTAAAGAGAAAGTCGGGTGTACATAAAAGCACTTTTTTCGACTTTTCGACTTTTCTGTTGACATGTATATATATTTACGCGCTTCTGCTTTAGCTCATGTAATCCAATCAACCTGTCGACAATTTCTCTGCCGTTCTCTCTCTCTCTCTCTCTCTCTAAAAGGTCGGTACTCGGTACTTTCCCTTCTCGATGTTTAGTGATTTCCTGTTATTTGATTCATGAATCTTGGCGCAATTTTGCTTTCATTAGTTGCGTAATTCGCGAAATTTCAAATGTTTATTTACATTTAATTTAATTTGGGGGTTTTGAATTGGAATTGGGGGAAAATGTTGTCGGTTTCTTCAAATTCATGTTTCCCTCTAGTTTTTAATCATAGCTGCAGTGCATTTAATATTGTGATTACATCGAATTATGGGAATTTCTGCAGCTATGATGTTTTTGTTTCTGTAATTAGGGTTCATAGTACATTGATATTTATTCATCAAAATTATTTAAATGTACTTGAAATTTTGAATGTGTTTGGTATACAATGTTTTAAAGAAAAGGATTTCAGTAATCAAGAAAGTGTGAAATATTTTTCGGAAACGAGTTTTTGTTTGATGATTATCTATGGTGGGCTTGCTGCAGATTTTCTGGTTCACTACTCGAAGAAAGTCAAATGGTGGGCCAGACCACGTATGTGCAGCCCGCAGATGTCCCGTTAGGACAACTGGATTCCGAAGAGGATTTAATGTGTCCTCGGGATTCGATACCTGCATATCGGATCTACGATAATGGCTCAGGGCAGTGGTCTTCGGGAATCTGTGCTTGTTTTGATGATATGCAGAGCTGTACGCTACTTTTACGCTTTGTGATCTTGATTTTGTCAGAAGCAATAAAAGTGAATGAAAGGTGCCCGTTTTTTTGAGTAGTTGCAAGAAACGATAAGATGAAAAAAAAGCCTTTTTTCCGTTTAGACTCCAACTTAGGAATTCGTAAGTAAACGGAATTAACAAGCGATTGATTTTTTGTGCTATACACATTTTACTCGATCTTCTGTGGGGCCTTTTTTCGTTTTCTTTTATGTAAATGGTTGATGATGCATATCGCATTATGTTTTCTCGAGTGAAGTACGTCAATTAAGTAATCTACTCTAATTAATTAGGCGTTGGATGGTGCGTTTTATTTAGGTTATTTCCTAACTAATCGATAATGTTCTTTTCTGCTCAGGTTACGTTGGACTATTTTGCCCATGCTATCTTTTCGGGAAAAATGCCGAGTTTTTGGGGTCCGGAAATTTAATGGGACCCTGTTCGATGCATTTCGTTATGTGGGCCGTTGTTAATACTTTTTGCTGCGTGTTGACCGACGGCTTTATGTTGGGTATGCCTGGTTGCTTCGTCGCATGCTATGCTTGTGGCTACCGAAGGGCATTAAGGTCAAAATACAATCTGCAGGTATAATTTTTTTTCCGCTTGTTCTATATTCATGCTCGTGTTTTTCCGCTTGGTCAAAATACAATCTGCAGGTCAAAATAAGCTTAAACAATGTTTGGTTGCAGGCTTTTTTTTTTGTGCTATAAGATTATATTTTTATAATTATGATTTGGTCCTTAATTACGGGATTTTTAAATGTAGGAAGCACCGTGTGGAGATTTCGTCACACATTTCTTCTGCCATTTATGTGCCGTATGTCAAGAATATAGAGAAATTCGTGAAAGGTCTCGAGACTCGAATTTTACGAGCCTTGATTTGGTGGAAGTGACGCCCCCTACTGTTCAGACAATGGAATCGCCTTCTGCTAAATAAACCTCCGTATTTTTCCCACGAAACTATTCACCTTGTATTGTATGCTACGATGCTCTGTTCTAATACGCGACGTCCGATTTATTTTGATTTTGTACCGTCTTCGATTATTACCAATCTTTTTGTTATCCAGTTGCTGCCATTTGTGTGGAAGAGTATATATTCTGTGATGCTATTCTCACTTGAGAGTGGTGGGTTGAGCTTTCAGAATATTTTTTGTGTTATAATTTCGACGCTTCGTTTTTTGATTTATTTCGCATTTACGGGAAAGTTTCGTTTATTGAGAGCAAAATCAACGTTAATTGGGTGTTGGGAATATCCTTTTGTTCTCCTTATCTTAAAAACTTGACGAGGACAATGAAGTTTTCTGTGAATAAAATCGATACTTGATGAATTGGAATTGTCGAAAATTCCTGCAATGTGATATATCGAGTATTATACGAAAAATAAATAAATACATATATATTCATATATACACATGCATTAAAAGGTGCAAATGCAATATTGTGCGGTTGTCACACAATATGGGAAAATTACATGAGTTGATATATATATATATATATATATATATATATATATATATATATATATATATAGAGAGAGAGAGAGAGAGAGAGAGAGAGAGAGAGAGAGAGAGAGATTAGATCAGCATATCTAATACAGGTCAAGTTGTCTGGTATATTTGTAGCAGCTGATAGAGATGTACTATTCCCGTATATATATATATATAGACTTGTCTTCGACCGATAAAAAAAATCGACCAACTTGTGTGATTGATTCTTTCGATTTTATTGTCGATTTTCCCTTTATATTTCCTACTCTTTATCCAATATATATGTACATCAATATATCACACAGCTTATATGTACACGTTAAATGTTTTTGAGGTCTCGTAAGTAAGCGTGACAAAAAAATGTTTGGTGGTTGTTTCAAGTTGCAGGTTCCGATATCCAACGCTTTGTCCGTAAGTAACTCTTCTTTCTCACACATCCCTTGTTTTTTTTTTTCTTTTTTAAATCTTCGAAGTTCTAAATATTTAAATATATATCGATTTAATGGAGTTTTGGAAGCATAGAATATGGAGATATAGGTTTATATAGATAAAAAAAAATAAGAGAAAAAGATAAGTATATCCATTTGTAAATTTGTGTGCATGTTTTTATGTATTCCTTTTTTTTTTTTTTTAATTTATTTAAATTTGTTCTATATTTATTTATATATATATATATATATGTATATATCTATATATATATATATATATATATATATATATATATATATATATATATATATATATATATATATATATATATATATATATATATATATATATATATATATATATATATATATATATATATATATATATATATATATATATATATATATATATATATATATATGTATTATGTATGTATAACTTAATTTTATGAAGGGTCATAGTCTTTAGATAACAAGAATAAGGAACCAAGAATAAAAATCTGCAGAATCTTTAAGGAATAATGTTAATAACCGAGCATTTTAAGATAAAGCATAGGTTGCTATTTTTCATGATCTTTAGATTTTTTAAATAATCATTTTTTTTATCGATTCGATCTTTTGTCTAATTTTATTATTTTATAATAATCGATCCCAAATTTGTCGGTAATTTGATCACTCATCGTCAGGGGCGAGTACAACCCGAGTCTAGGGTGGATTCAAACCCCCCTCAATTACAAATTCTTTCACTATATGTTACATATATTATTATTTAGTCCTCCCAATTTTTATTATTTAGCCCACCGAAAACTTAAATCATGCAAAAAAATCCTAAATTTTTTTACTCTTCCTAATTTATCCAAAAAAAGTCCGAAATTTTCTTTCAGAGCCTCTGCGCCTCTGCCCATGAACCCCCGAAAATTTAAGCCCACCTTGTGGTCATTTCTTGGACTCGCCATCGTAACTATCACAAAATCTTTCTCTTATAAATGACTAAAACCTTATTTAGTTCATGATTCTTTCATTGATATATATAATGTGTGTGTATGTATATAATATGTATATAGATATATGTATGTATACATGCAGGTGTGGATAGCTTAGATATAGATATGGAGAAGCAAAAGGTGACAGTGAGAGGGTATGTGGACAAAAGGAGTGTCCTAAAAATGGTGAGAAGAAGCGGTAAAACGGCGGAGTTTTGGCCATTCCCTTATGATTCCGAGTATTATTCCTATGCTTCTCGATATTTGGACGAATCCAATTTCAACTCAACGTACAACTACTACACCCATGGGTACAACGAGACCACGCACGGCTATTTCCCCGACCTTCCCTACGAAACGATCGATGATCGGATTACGTATCGTTTCAGCGAGGACAATGTTCATGCATGCACTATTATGTGATGACCTCTCTTTGTTTATATATTTAAATATTTTTTTAGGGTGCAAAAATAATTATATTTGAATAACTAGACTTTCATTTATGTGTCTATTATGGTTTGGTAGTATTTGAATGAAAAATGTAAGAAGAAACTCAATTTAACTTGTGATTGTTGAGTGTATTGGTGGAAATTGGAACGGAGTTTTTGAATGCCGTTGGTTTCGATTCGAAAATTTTCAATTTTGGAGCAGTATTTTTTTCAATCTGAATTCATGAAGTTTTGATTTCTGATCCAATTTCATTTTAAAAAAAATTCAATTCTTCTCCGCAATATATTTTTATAGTAGGAATATAATTGTCTATTTTGTACCATAAGTGACTTTAAAAAATGGAAATTTTTGATCCAAAATTCCTCTAATTTCAATAAAAAAAATTCCAATTTTGCAACAAGGTTTTTCATTCCAATTTTTTTATTTTTTATTTTTTATTTTTCCAATTCTTATTTCTTGGAGCGGAATTATAATTAGTTTTGCACTTGGAAACAGATTTGTAAATGAGTAGAGCATGCTCATGAGCTCAGTGAGCCAGCTCGACAAAAGCTCGAAGTCGAACTTAAGTTTACGAGCTCGAGCTTTCTGGCGAGTTGAGTCTGAGTTCATTCTTTGTATTTCATGAGCTCGCGTATTCGAGCTCGAGCTCACCAAAATAACCAAGCCTGGTGTTGGGGTTAAATACCTAACACACAAGTGCATGTATCGCAAACAAGTAGTAAATGTGGACTCGTGAGAGTCGGATGTCGATCCCACAGGGAATATTCGAATTATCTAATCCTAAGTACCAAATTCTAACAATTATGATTTTTATCCAGCCTACGCAAGGTTTTCAAATTTAATCAACAAAATAATTAAACTAATTATAAAAGCAAATAATCACGAGAATATATCAATAAAAACGGATCTAGGATTTTATCTTCCCCCTATGCGGTAATTCGATACCCAATTAAACCTCTATCATGCAAGTTACGATTCCTGATTATTAACCCGATACACTAAATTACTCATAACCCGCTGCCGCGTGTATTATGAGTCTATTATTCATAAACGATTCACTATATGTCTATGCAAACCAAGTATGAATAAAGCATTAAATAACAAGTCTCGTAAACGGCTACCTAAGGTATTATCTGTATGTCTACGATAATACATGCAATTGACACACTCATCCGGTGAAAACTACTCGAAGGCTCTTCTATCCTTGTTCTAATTATTAAAACGACATGTCAATCAATTCTAACAATAACATATAGCAACATAAATTAGCTACGTTCATGCGCTAAATAAGATCAAATAGAAGAAATATCATGGAATTTAAACTTGCATAATATTAGAAAAATAGGTTCGAATCACCACATATGGTTCCAATAAAATCCTAGATTAAAAGCTTAGCTACTTACTCATGTTCGCTACGAAAAACATTATAAAAATATTAAAAAGAAATAGATTAAGAAAAGGTAGATGAAAGAAGAATTGTGATGAAGATTTGTCAATTCTCCGTCTTCGATTCTCCGTTCTCTCGCTCCTCTTCCTCCAAGATTGTGTAAAAAAGTCCCCGATTCGTGCTTTGTCTTTGCCCTTTTATAGATGTCTCAACTTGGTAGAAGATTTAGGTTTACTTGTGTGATTAAAAGTCCAAAATTACTTCCAGCGTGTTTTCACACGGCCACGCGAGAATCAGTGCAATTCTCACACGGCCGCGCGAGAATCGCCGAAACCTTATGCCCAAATTCTGCAGTTGGCGCGGCCGCGCCAAAAATAGGCTAAATTTGGCACGGCCGCGCCGGGCCAATTTTCAGCATATTTTTGTTTTCTTCCGTTTTTGCCCGTTTTTTTAACTTTTTGGCTTGTTTCATCCTTGTAACAGTCAAATCGTCAAGTTGTACCTAAAATACAATAAACCACTCATTAAGCACCATTAAATCAATAAAAGTATACAAAAATACTAGTACGAAAATATACATTGAATGTAAAAATATACACTCAGCACCCGGCTCTTTTGAACCCCTACTTGGAAGTGTGTTAATTCCAATTTATATTTTGGGCCATAACATATATTATGGGTATGATTACGAAACTTGGCTAGTTTTATCAATTCAAGGAAATGGGCCTATGCCCAAAACAAGAAGGAAATTATTATATACGTATATTAATTATGTATAATTCATTTGATTTATAATTGAGTTTTAAATGTCACTGGATAATTAATTAAAAAATAAGATTAAAATTCAATTAGATAATTAATTTTGGCCGATTACTTAAAATTTACTCTTATCAATCGATTGTTGTCGTTGAAATAAAACCAATGTTGAATGACCACAACAGCTAAAAGTTTAAGTTATTAGTGAAATGTATTATTTAATATTAATATCTCCAATAATCTTTAATGGTTCTACTGTTGATGAATGATTATGTTTTGCTATTTGATTTGATTAATGATTATTTTTTGCTATTGTAACAACAAAAATTAAAGTGGGAGAAAGAAAAAACAATAGGTACAATGATTTATAGGTTAAAAGTTTGGAAATAGCTTTTCTAGATTTCAAATAAAGCTGCGGATTTATACTATAATTATACAAAAGTTTGAAGGCCACATTCTATGACTTATGCCAATCACTTTTGCGTTATCGATCATGTGACTAAAATTTTAATTCGTAAGAGAATTTTAATTTATTATTATGCTATTTCATAGTTTAGTCCAAAAAATGTGATATTATTAAAATGATAAAAACTGTTTTAGTCTTTTTAATGTGATTTTCTTAAAATTCAGTCATATTTAATATTTATTAATTTTTTTAATAATTGTGCAAATGTGAAAACACACGATTATTAAGGAACAAAAGGAGTATATCTTGGATTCTCCTGAATTATAAATGAGCCATACATATGTTCATTCATATTTTACACACGTTTATATGTACATGTGTGGGCTTGTTTGTAGAATAAAAAGTGAAAAATGAACCGATATATTTCACTATGTGTAACATTTATGAATTTTCTATTTTGCTATTAATTGTAGAGGAAAACGCATTAAATAATGACAATAAAATTTTTTTTGTTCCCCTCTCCATATTTCACGCTGTTATATGGGGAAAAAAAAAAAAAAATAATTAGTGATCCCACATGAGTTTCTCCGACAGAGATATTTTTCAAAACCCACACAAATTAACACAAATATATATATATATATATATATATATATATATATATATATATATATATATATATATATATATATATATATATATATATATATATATAATAGGCACATCACTATTTCAATAGGATTTCTCAATAAGTCCCTTTCAAGATTTAACTAAAATATTCTCTTGCTACATATTTGCACTAGAAGGCAAAATCCTTCGCCCCAAGGCTCCCCTATTCCCTGGTTTGATATTTTTTTAATGAAGAAATGTAAATTATAGTGATTCAATGGCTCGATAGAGTAGAGTAACAGATTTGAGCCTGGTGCCCACAAAGAACGAATCCTCATTGAAGTTGAAATTCCTACACTATAATTGACAATACTCGATTATAGAATCAGTTGAACGATACCCATGTGGGCCACTTGTTACATATTTATTTACATATATATAGATGCAAGAAAAAGTCGGTGTAGGGACAAGTAATCTTTTTATTCTATGTCTAGGGAATTTAATCAATAGTTATTTTATTCCCAACTTGGAATAACTAACATGATAATGACAATAGTTTAGACATAGTTAAACCTTGTTTATGTCATAAAATACAAATAATTTATACCCATTAAAAATTAAAAAAATACTTTAGGGTACGTTCGATGGAATAATTAGCCTAACATTATTGAAATTCGACAAGTATCATGGTGTCGTTAAAGTATAAACAAAAATATTAGTTTAGTAACGTACAAAATGAATAATATATAACAATTATTAAATATAATTTTAAATATTCTTTTTTGTTCGATAACTATGTGGATAGCTACATTGTTTTGTGTTAATCTTTTTTTTTTTTTTTTTTGGTTTGGATTTAGGGTAATATACATCTTCTTGATTAAGAAATTCAAACCTAATTCTGGACACATTGTAAAATTTGAATCGATTAAACTTAATTAATTTTGACTATACTAATTGGTCGGTTTCAGTTCTTGGAAATGCAATTAGCATCTGACGAGTACAAGAACGACGACATGTTGTTTTTGTTAAT